TTTTCTATTTCATTCTAGAGGCAATGGGGAACCACTCTAGTTTCATAACAGAATGGTCGGAATAAAAAAGAAAATGAAACAAAAGAAATTCCATGAAACTAACCTCTATGTCAACAATGTGACAGTCAGGGGTAGGGAACCTGTGGCCTTGAGGCCACATTTGGCCCTCTAGGTCTTCAAGTGCGGCCCTTTGACTGAATCCAAATTTCACAGAACAAATCCTTGCCCTCTAGGTCCTCAAGTGCAGTCCTTTGACCAAATTCAAACTTCACAGAACAAATCCTGGCCCTCTGGGTCCTCAAGTACGGTCCTTTGACCGAATCCAAACTTCACAGAACAAATCCTTGCCCTCTAGGTCCTCAAGTGCGATCCTTTGATTGAATCCAAACTTCACAGAACAAATCCTGGCCCTCTAGGTCCTCAAGTGCGGTCCTTTGACTGAATCCAAACTTCACAGAACAAATTTGGATTTGAAGTTTGGATTCAGTTAAAGGGCCACACTTGAGGACCCAAAGGGCCACATGCAGCCTCGAGGCCACAGATTCTCCACCCCTGCTCTAGACAATGTCCCACCCCACCAGACCTTCATCCCTGCAAAAAGGGAAGGGAAGTCCAGTTTCCCATCTCCTCTACGAGGCAGTGGGGCACAATGGCTAGAGACCAGGCCTTCAAACTGGAGTAGAGTCCTTCAAGCCCTTCCTCTAACACGTACCAGCTGTGTGACTCTGAGTAAGTCATTTTCATCCCTTCAATGTTCTAGGCCATGCTTAGTGGCAGAGAACGTGTTCATCTGTCTTGTTAGAAGGAGATTCCTCACCTGGGAATTCCCAATACAGATGAAATCATGAATACAGTAAATCTCTATCCATCCTATAGGACCAAACTTGGGCATCACAATTCCATAACATTCAGTTTCATCTTTTTGTTGTTGATTTTTCCAGTTGTGATGTTCTAATAATTGCCAGTCAGTCGATAGACATTTAATAAGCCCCTACTATATGCCAGGGGGCAGCTAGGTGGCACGATGGATAGAACGTTGGGCCTACAGTCAGGAAAATCAGAGTTCAAATCTAGCCTCAGACACTTACTAGCTGTGTGATTCTAGGCAAGTCATTTGACCCTGCTTGCCTCAGTTCCTCATCTCTAAAATTGGGACACACTAGAGAAGGAAATGGCAAACCACTCCAGAATCTTTGCCAAGAATCACCCCTCCCCGCAATGGGGTCACGTAGGGCCAGACAGGACTGAACAACAGGTACATTCCAGGCACTGTGCTAAACTCTGGGAATACAAAGAAAGGGAAAAGATGGTCCTTGCTCCCAAAGAGTTCACAATGTAATGGGTTAATAAGGGACAGAGGCAGGATTTGAAGCCTCCTGGTTTCCCAGGATTCCTTCGAGACTTGGCTCAAAACCCATCTTCTGCAAGAGTCATGTTGCTTACAGCCTTCTCTGGTTATTAGCTCCAACTGACTCTGTCGATTAGTAGTTTGTTTGTACAGAGTTGTTTCCCTGTTAGATTGGGAGCTCTCTGAGGGCAGAGGCTTTTTTTTTTTTTTTCATTTCTTTGTATCCTCAGTTCTTAGCACGGTTTCTGGTACAGAGTAGGCACTTTATAAATGTTGACTTGCTGACTGACTGCTCTTAGGGAGCTTACATTCTAACTGGGGAGATAATATATGTAAGCATGCACAAAATAAAGATGATGTCATTTTTGGGGGGAAGGGGTGAGAGGGACTAGGAGTTGAGGGGAATCAGGTAGAGCATCTTGTGGAGATGATTATGGAGAACTTTTGAAGGCGAATCGATTCTAAGAGAAGGAGACAAGGAGGGAAGAGCATTCCAGGGGCACAGCCATTGCAAAGGTGTGGAGTTGGGAGATGGAGGAACAGTATTTGAGGAATAGCGGGGAGGCCTGGCCTCGTTGTGCTGAACTTTGAGGTCCTTCCCATTTCTCAAATGCAATGGGTTTTCAACCATCGAAGGTCTGGTGAGTGCCCGTGGGAGCGATGTCTTTGGGCAGGCCAGCCCAGGGGTTGGGGGTTGTTGGTGCGAGGTATTGGTGCAAAACTGAGCCCAAGAAGCTCAGAAAGTGCCCGGGTTCGCTTGTCCCACTGGAGAAGGGAGACTGAGAAAGCCGGAGGTGCCCAGGCGGGGAGGAGGGCAGACTGTCCCAGGGAGGGGAAGGAGGTGAGACGGAGGGGGCGTGGCCTGGGGCCCAGGGGGCGGGGCCGGGGGCGGAGGCGGGATGCGCGCCCCTGGAAGCAGCTGCGGAGCGGGAGAGAGGGGGAGGAGGCGGCTGCGGCGGCCGTTGGGCAGCAGCAGAAGGAGGAGGAAGGGGAGGAGCAGGAGGAGGTGAGGGGAGGTGGCCGAGGCTGCCCGTCCTACCCCCCACGCCTCCGGGCCAAGCCCATCACCTGGGACCGGGAGTGCGGGACACTGAGGCCATGGAGCACATCACGCTGCCCAAGGTAAGGCGTGCCCCTGAACAACGGCCAGGGGAGGCTCGGGGCCACTTCCGGGCTGGGGGGTACCCCCATCCCAGCCCTCGGGGGCGCAGAGCCCCCCTCCCGGGGAGTCTTCCCCCAGCTGCCCCTGCTTCCCACTTAGGTACCCTCTCCCAAGCCACTTTCCCACCTCCCCCAAACAAGCCCTCGGGGCTCCCCTTTGGATCGCGTGTGTGGGTCCCCCCCGCCACACCTTGGGACTCCAGTGAACTTCCTCCCCTCGATCCCGGCCCGTCCGGTCCCGTCCCATCCTGTCCCGTCCCATCCTGTCCCGTCCCATCCTGTCCTGTCCAGTTCTCCAACCTGAGCTCACCTAGGCAGTGTAGTATAGTGGGAGGGGTGCCCTCGGGCTTTGAGTCAGATCCCCTTTGCCCCTTGATGGATGGCCGCTGGACTATGCCTTTCCTTTTTCTGGGCCTGAGCTTTTCCCCCTGTAAAATGAGGGCTTTAGATTTGATCCCCCAAAGCCCCTGGTCCTCTGATTCCAGGCTTGTAATTTCCGTGTAGGAGAAAACTCTATCCAATGAAGAAACTCCCTCCGCCAAAGTAGATGGACACCTCTCCTGCAACTTTTATGTAGTCTTAGAGAGTTTTGTTCAAAAGAAAAGAAAAAGAAAAAAACAGATGAGACCTGAGATTTCATTGGTAGAGGGAACTCCCAGTGAGGGGAATCTCTCTTACCAGTGCAGATCTGCACCTGCTTTATAACTAAGAGTCGTAGAGGGCCCAAAGTTGTGGGAGAGGCAGAGCTGAGTGATTTGATGAGTAAAGGGGCACTCTGTACATTTTGCTACTATCTTCCTACTCTGATATTCTGTGAAAAAATCACCACCACCACCACCCCACCCCACCCCCATGTAAGGGATATAACTCATTGAGGATGCCTTACAGTAGCCAACAGCCAGCTCTACTTAATAATGGCAGATAATTTGTATCAAAGGATCAGAGACTCAGTTTCCTTTTCTGTAAAATGAGGAAGTTGGATGACATGGCTTCTAAGATACCCCTCAGCTTTAAAGAGGTGATCCTATATCACTTAATAAAAGGAGACAAGTATAGGCATCACTGTGACTTGCTGGAATGACTGGGAAAAACTCTGAGAGTTTACCTGATTTGAGAAGAAAAGTATAAGTAAAAGGGGGTAAGTAAAAGGGATTAGTTTTGTCTATGAAAAACACATACTCATCAGGAAATTCTGGCACCAGAGGAGTAGAAACATGGTGAAACATTGGAGTGAACATTAGCAGGCGAAGAAATAAAAGCAAAGTCATCACAAAACACTAAAATACAAAAGAACACGTGGGCAGAATGAGGACAGAGAAAGGACTTTGGGAGGCAGATCAAAAGCACAGCATTGAGGCATGAAGGAGTGATGGTTGAAACTCTGCTGGAACTCTCTGGAAAAGCAAAGCCGCTACTTCATTCTAGGCTTGCTTTATTGATAGTTTGGCCCTTCAAAAGGTGGAGTAATCATTGAGGGGGATGTGATTTAGAACCAATCTTAGAATTTGTGAAAGAGAAAGAAGAAAACTGGGCATAATCTGACATGTGCCCTAGCCTTGGGGAGAGCACATTTCAGAATGTTCATAAAAGGGCTAGACTAGGAGTAGGGAACCTTCGGCCTCGAGGCCACATGTGGCCTTCTAGGTCCTCGGGTGCGGTCTTTTGACAGAGTCCAAGTTTTACAGAACAAATCCTTTTCTTAAGGGGATTTGTTCTGTGAAGTTTGGATTCAGTCAAAGGACTGCACTTGAAGACCTAGAGGGCCACATGTGGCCTCAAGGCTGCAGGTTTCCCACCCCTTGGCTAGATAATGTTGAGGCATAGAGGTGGCCCATTAGCTAGAATTTCTGGCTTATAGTCAGGAAGACTTGAGTTCAAATTCAATCTCAGATACTTTGTTTGCCTTGTTTTCCTCATCTGTGAAATAGGGATAATAATAGCACTCACCTTGCAGGAGTCTGTGAGGATCAAATGAGATGATGGCAAAGTGCTTAGCACCATATGAAGTTAGCTATTATCATTATTATCGACAGTCCACACCCTAAAATCCCATAGTCCATAAGAATCTCAAGAGTTAGATTCTGAAGACAGAAAGAGAAACAATTCCAGTGAAGGAATGCAAAGGAGCAGCTATCTAAAAAGACTCATGAACAGAAAGAATTCATTGACCAAGGTAGTTTTTTAAAAAATAAATTTTATTGCTATCTTTTGTCTTTACATCACCTACATTTTCCATTGTATCTCTTCTCCTCCCTTTCCCAGAGAGCCATCCCTTTTAATAAAGAATATAAAAGAGGAAGAAAAAAAAAAGTTTAGTGAGACTGCCAACATGTCAGAAAAGATCGCCATTATACAAAGCATTGCCCACCTGTGGTCCCTCGCATTTTCAGAGAATCGGAAGGCGGTTATCTTCTCCTCACTTGTTTCCAGGGCGAAGTAGAAGATAAAAGCCAGGATTGTTTAAGAACGAACATGGAAGCATGATCTAGGCCTGGAAGAATGCATCAGGAACATGAAAGTTTTGAGTAAACTGTGGCTGGTGATGAACAACTCAGACTTTTTCTAGCACTTTATGAGGAAGGTGATGAATGCAAGGATTGTCATCCTGATTTTCCAGCGCTTGCCCTGAAGGGTCACAAAGAACAGCTTTAGGTAGAACAGAACTGACTGGTGATGTTCCGGCAGAATGCGTAAATGATCAAGAAAATTGTTTAGTGCTTGCTATGTGATAAGCTCTGGATATCCAAATAGAAAAGGAGATTTGTCCCTGCCTCTAAGGGGCTCTCATTCTAATAGGGGCAGAGAGCATACGTAGACAAGAGAAGAGGTGGCATTTCGATGTATCTCCTTTCCAGGTGCTTTCTGCAGTTTAGGTATACCAGCACTTACTTTCCCCTCCTGCCTTAGAATCATAGTTCAACAAACATTTATTAAACTCCTTTTGTGTGCACTGTGATTAATGCTGCTACTGTAGTCTCTATAAAGGCAAAAAAACTACTTCAAGCAATTATTATTATTCTGATTGAGGTAAATGGAGGGATCTTAGGGAATATGTGGTCCAACACCCTTATCTTACAAATGAGAAAACAAAGGAAAATGATGGGACTTATCCAAGGCCACAGTGTTCGTAAGTGGCAGAGCTGGGTATGGAACCTTGGTCTTTGCACACCAGGTCCTGTGTCAGTCTGTAAAATGGGGATAATAATAGCTCCTCCCTTGAGGGGTTTTATGAGGATTGAATGAGATAATGATTGTAAAGTTACCTACCATCAATGAGCTCCCTGTCCCTGACATCAGCTCTTCAAGACAGTCAACCCAATACTTTCAACTGTCTTTTCCTAGCTTTAATTAAACAAACAAACAAAAAAAATGTATTAAAGTGAGGTGGTTGACTCATGATGTCTTCTGGGCCAGGAGTCATTTCTTAAATGGTTTTTAACAAATTTCTTGGCATCACTGGTCTGTCCCAGTAGAGCTTACTCCCCCAAAATATTCCTCTCCCAAGTGGCATTTGAAGGCATCTATCTGGCTAGGCCTGTTCTGCTCCCCCACCCCAACCCCTGGAGTGCTAGAAAGAAAGGGTTAGGCCAGGGGTGGGGAACCAGCCACCTCCAGGCCACATGTGGCCCTCTAGGTCCTCAAGTGCAGCCTTTTGACCAAATTCAAACTTCACAGAACGAATTCCCCTTAATGAAAGGATTTGTTCTGTAAAACTTGGACTCAGTCCAAAGGCCACACCCAAGGACCTAGAGGGCCATATGTGGCTTGGAGGCTGCAGGTTCCCCATCCCTTTAGGCCACATTAGAAATGACTGAATACATTTAGCAGAAAAGATGGTATTTCAATATATGGCATCTCGAAATAACAGAAGGAAATAGAACAGATACCCCACCTCATCCTTCACTTCCTATTTCTCTGCCTTCTTTTTTTTTTCCTGACCCCCTCCTTCATTGGGGCTGAGTTACAGGCTTTGTCTGGCACCTCTTTCTTGTTCTTGCCTTATTGCTTTCTAGCTCAGGTTGTTTATATTCACCTGCCTGTCAGGTTTGATGAAATACAACCATCAGAGCAAGAGGAACACTGCTGCTTCTAATTTAGAGCTCTGTCCCATTCACCTTCCTACCTATTGGGTGTATCCCTTCCTCAGTTTGAATTCAGGGCCCTTGATCCCCCTCCCATGAGATAATATGTGGTCAAGGAAACAAAACCAACAACTTCCCCTAAACTAAATCAGTGCTCCAGTTCAGACGGGGGTCCTAGTTGGGGGATGCGGGGTTAATGCTCAGAGAAACTTTAAATGATCATGTACAAGGACTGATTTTACTTTGGACTGTATTGCCTGTGTCTGTTTTCTCCTTAGTAAGATTATTTTGAAGTTAAAGAAAAAACAAAAACGAGGTTAGCCATTGTGTAGATGGATTTTCAGAAACTTAGGACTGTGAGAAGTCTGGTAAGCGTGCCTTTTCTAGTCAACAGAAGGCATGCTCCCATCGAGTTGCCATTCACAGGAGGTTTATCTTGAAAAGCTTAAAGATTTGCTCTTCAGGATTAGGAGAGCATGCTCATTCGAAAGGCAAGGGCCTGTAACAGAGGGTGCTGTTCTTTGCCTTTTTTTCTGAATTTCAAGTCCTGAAACACTTTGGCTTTGGATGCATCATTCTGACTTTTTCACTTGAGAGAGACCTGCCTGATTTTGTTAAGTCCTGGGAGGCTTCAGAAATGAAGATCTCTTAGATGATAGGACTTGGGGCTGGAATGGGCCTTAAAGCTCATCTAGTCAGAGCACCTCATTTTACCAGTGAAGAAACTGAGGCCCAGAAAGGAGAAATTATTTTGCCCTAAGTCACGCAGATAGTAAGTAATACAGCTTGGATTTAAACCCGGGTCTGATGATTGTGCTGCTTCCACTATACCTTTTTATCTGATCTAATAAGTGCATTCAACATCTAATCGTGGCATATACCAGGACTCTATTTCCTGCAGTGTTTTTCCACTGAATCTTTTTCAAAATAATAGAATAACAGAATTTCAGTCTTGGAAGAAGCCTAGGTGGCAATCCAGTTCAACTCATACTGGAACCCTCACCCCCTCCAACAAGGGTTTTTAATCTGGGGTCCACTGTGACTAGGCTTGGGGAGCCCATGAACTTGGATGAAAAAAAAATTACTTTTTTATTTTTACTATCCTTTGGCTTCCTTTATAATCCTGGTATTTTATTTTATGCATTTAAAATCATGATTCTGAGAATGGGTCTATAGGCTTCCTCAGCCTGCCTACCCAAGGTAGAGGGCAAGGGATGGGAAGGGAGGGTCTAGGACACACAAAAATTTCAGAATCTCTGCTCTTTGACCTGTCCAGCAAGTGGTCATCCAGTCTTTGCCGGACCACCATAGAACAAAAGTTCACTGTCTCCATATTGGCTCAGAATACTTCCTCAGTCTTCACTTTCCTTCTCTGCCTTCTCCCTTCCATTGTTGATGTTTTATACTTTCTTGCTCATTGGAGAGACCTTATTGAGAAAACAGAAAAAGGTCTTTTAAAAATGTGAAAAGAAAAGGATTTGGAGGGAGACTACTTAGGTCGAAATCCCCATTCTGTTACTCTCTGAGTGACTTTAGTCAAGTCATTTCATCTCTCTGTGCCTCAGTTTCCCTCAACTACAGATGTAGGAGCTGGACTCAGATGACCTCTGCACACTCTGTTTTTCCAGTAGTATTCATGATGAATGATGATATCGGGCAGTGATAGTATGGGACATGTTCTTAGGCTGGTAAACTCTTCTGGAGTCACATGTTCCTCATTTTAAAAAAAATCGTAGATTTGAGCTATTGCCAATACTTGTGGCAAATCAGGGTAGTAAATGGATTAAGAAACTTCGGAAGTGCACCTCATTTCCTTTCTTCCTGGAAGGGAAATGGAAAATACCATGTTTTATGGGCCACAGCATCTCTAAGAGCAGAGTTCTTGTAAGTGTCACAACATCCTGTGTGGTCGTGGCAGGGGGTGAAGTGTGGGAGAAGGGCATTGACCAAGCAGTTCTTCAGAGGACAGGGCCATCTAAGCTACTTAGCCAGGGTAACGGCTTCAGAAGCAGCCTGATCCCTTGTTCCTGTAGGCAGAGAATACAGTTGTGTGCTCTGATCCTCAGCTCATTCTTAGATTGGGAGAGCAGGCACCATGCCATGTTGTCATGTGTCTCTGCCAGTGCACAGCACAGTTCTCTAAACATTCAGGGGCTAAGAGATGGTTGTTGAAGTTTGGGGTTTTCACTCTTCTTCCGTCCTTCCCCGCTGTGTGGCTCAGCTCTTGCCTCAGCTTCCTCCATCCCTTCAGCAAGTATTCTTGAATCACACCCCACCCCAACCCCTTCCCTCTAGTGCCTGTGCCCTTCATTGCTCCTTGGCTCTTTCTGGCAGACAATCCTAGACACCCATGTACTCCTGACCCATCCATCCACACTCTGGTTGAAAGTGCAGAGCCAAGGAATCGTTTTGGAATGCCTCAGTGATCTGTGCTCTTTAACATTTTTACAAAAGACTTGGATGAAGAGATCCTTATCAAAAGATCTTGATGCATTAGGACATTGGGCCAAATATTATAAGGTGAAATTTAATAAGAATAAATGTAAAATTCAAAAAAAAATCAGCTTCACAAGCACAAGATGGTAGAGATATGCCTCTACTGCAGTTCATCTGAAGAAGATCAGGGGGCCTTAGTAGGCCATATTCTCAGTGTGATATGGCATTCAAGAACACTCATGTGATCTTAGGCCACTGTCCAGGCTAGTCCTGCTGTCCTCTGCCTTGATCACATCTACTTGCAACTAGAATACAGTATTTACTTCTGGTTATGTCATTTTAGATAGGATGTTGGTAAAACTGGAGAAAGTCAAGAGCCACCAGGATAAGGAGAGAAATGTTTCATTCTTATATTTCAGTCACAGGTAGCAAGTAGGAGTTTAATCTTTTTCTCTTTCTTTTTAAATAGGTTGAAAATGTCCTGTTATTGAACCGTTACGTAAACAAGAAACCAGCTAACGGGACTCTCTATCTTACTGCAACCCATCTGATATATGTAGATGCTTCTGCTGAGGTCCGGAAGGAAATCTGGGTCTGTGTTCCTGATAAGAAATAAGAAAGTATACCAAGGACTTGTACATGAAGGCTTCTCATTTGGCGTGTAGGGGTTGCCCAAGAGCACCAGTATTTAGTAATGAATTTATTTCCTAAATCATTTAGACCACGGGTGGGGAACCTTTGGCCTCCTAAGTCCTCGGGTGCAGCCTTTTGACTGAGTCCAAATTTTACAGAACAAATCCTTTATTAAGGGGATTTGTTCTGTGAAGTTTGGATTTGGTCAAAGGGCCACACCCAAGTGGACCTAGAAGGTCACATGTGGCCTCAAGGCCTCAGGTTCCTGACCCCTGATATAGACCCTTTCCTCTGAAGAACACTGTTCAAGTGAACCATTTATAGTGAGAAACAGAGGCTGCTGCAGTGACCAGCTAAAACTGTTCTAATTCAACAGATGTTTCTTAAGCACCTACTATGTGCAAAGCACTATGTGCTAGCTTCTCACACTTCAAACGGTGATGTGTTTTGTAATAGGCAAGTCTTGTTTATTTTACAAATACTATACTTATCAAACTGTGTATACTAGGTAAATAAAATTTATAGCGAACAATATTATTTGTAAATTTTCTCTTTTCTGCAATAGCATACCCTCCAAAATCTCCTGCTGTGCTGGTGTCCTGCCATATACCCTTTGCAAACCATTGGACTAGATTACCTCTGAGGTTTATTCTAATTGTAGTGTTCTCTTCCCTAGTGCTTCTTCAATAGTTTTTTTTTTCTCTGCCTCTCTAAAAAATTCATAGAAACATAGAATTTAGGTCTGGAAGGGAGCTGAGAGGTCGTATAATGTAATGCTCATATTTACCATATAAAACCCAGAGGAGTAAGTGACTTGCAATTAAGTGACAGGGCTGGGATTCATACTTGGGTCCTCTGACTCAAAATCTAGCGCTCTCTTGCCTACTGTACTGTATTTGTCCCCTAATGTTTACAGGGATTTCCTCTTCAGTTACACTTTAAATCTAATGCTCTATTGTTCCTTCTGGTTGTCTTGCCCAGGAGGTGGGAGAGGAAGGCAATGCAGAGACCCTCTATTGCTGGTCAAGGAAGCTTCTTTGCCTTCCGAGTAGAATTGTTGTTCAGTCGTGTCTGATTTTTCATGACCGTGTGGACCATACTGTCCATTTGCTGTTTCTTGGCAAAGATACTGGAACATTTTGCCATCTTCTTCTATGGTGGATTAAGACAAACAGAGGTTAAATGACTTGTCCAAGGTCACACACTAATACAATTATCTAGGGCCTTTCCCACCATCCCCTGCAGGACAAGACGGGTTACTGCTCCCTGGTTTATCAGGGTGAACTGGACTTAGGAAATTTGATACTTGTTTTTGTAGACGGTTTTGTTTTCTACCAGACCTTGGCTCCCCAACCATAACCCAGAACCTGGCACAGTTATTTTTGGTCAGGACCTATCCATGTTGGGAGCTCCCAGTGAGGAGATTAATAGAGGTGAAAATCCCTAAAAAGAAAGTCCATAAGGATTTATAGGGAACTTCTGGTGAGCAAACTCCCTTTCTCAATGCAGAATAGCATGTGCTCTGCCACTTAGAGTTGCCCAGGCCATTAAGAGATGACCCACCCAAGACATGCCTGGGACCCCTTGGCACATCTCAGGTCCACCACCCCAGGCTGCCTCACTTGCATTGCCAGTATCTTTTTTATATGACTCATCAAAGCTCTTTAGTATTCCAAATAGTGAGAGAAACGGAGCAAGTTAGACGAGACCAGAGGATTTCCATGTTTGTTTTCTTTGCCCATCCACCCTGCCCCCCCCAAACTTCATATACTCTTAAGACTTCTAACTGAAAGATTTAGTGGGAGAGACAGCTCTTTGGGGAAGAATTTGAAAAAAGAGATGAGACAAATCAAGTTGGCAACATTATCCCGGACCTCTAAGAAGGAAACACCACAAAGCTGTAAGGCGTCAGGTTGGGTCCTAGTGAAAGGAAGATGATGGAGCCTATGGTAACAGAAAATGAAGCACAGAGATAGGAAGGACATAAAAGGGAAAAATCCTCCCTCAATTTCCTCCGTATTTTGCTAGCTTCAAAATAACAATGCCATTTGGACAGCGTTTCTTTTATCTCTCCCTTCTGTTTTCTTTTTTTTTCTCAGGCCACTTTAGCATGGGAGAGAGTTACAAGATAAGCCCCACTTATTCATAGTTCTTGTTCTGGCCTTAGGTCTACCATTAGAAGAACTTACCCACTTTTTTGGAATGATGCTAGGCGAAAGTGAACTAACCAACAGAAGCGACCCTAGAATCAAATTGCATGTTGGAATACTTAAATGGAGCCATGATTTCTCATGACTTTAGGCATTCCTTGCACTGGTGGAAGTTGTACCCAATCCAGTGCCATCCATTTTGGTGGGTGCCATTCTGTCTGGCTTCCAACAGAGAATGCTTAGCAGCAAATAATTACAATTTCCCAGTGTTTCCGATGGAGTATCCCCACCCAATGTACTAGGATCCTTTCTCTTGTCCTTTTAATTCGGAATGGGCTCAGCACTAAGTAGTGATTCCATTCCCATGGTGCTTTCCTATTGTAGAATGTTTCCCCCAACAGTGCTGTGAAATAGGAAGTGCAAGTATTACATGTTTCTATGTTATATCATATCATCTAAAGCTATATTAATATTCCTCATTTATAGATGAGGAAACTGAGGCTTAGAGAGATGAAATAATTCAGGATCCTGGAGCTGGAAGGGACCTTAAAAAGTGACCAAAAAGATGAAGTTCCTTCATGTACGCCAACCCTCTTTTCATTTTACAGATGAAAAAAATTGAGTCCTAGGGAAATAAAGTAACTTGGCCATGGTCACACATACGTAGCAGACGTAGAATTACAACCTGGATCGTCTCCAAATCCAGTGCTCTTTCTACTGCCATGGTCATATAACTAACAAATTTCCTCATCTGAAAACTGAGGAAGTTAGAGGAAATGATCTCTAAAGGAACCTTTCAGTTCTAAAGCTAGGGATCCTAAGTTGGTGCAGTCTGGACTTAGTCTCAGGTTGTCTTATTCTGAGTCCGTTGTTTTTTCCACCTCTTGTGCCCCAGTAGCTTTCTGACCAAGAAGTCAGATTGTGGACTCATCGTGGCCTATGGTGATACTCACAATGGCCTGCCAGAGGTCCTTTTTATTGTATTTATTTGTCTTTTTTAATATGCTAAGGTAGTCCCTCTAATTCATTACAACTTGTCCTAAGATGAAGACCTATCGTCAGAATGACATCTTTCCTTGCTCACCTACCTACGTGGAAGTACAATGCTTTCCTTTTTTTTAAAAGGGTACTTCTGGACATTTAGGCCATTGCCAATATCTGAGAATCACTGTTCTGAGAGTTGGTGTTGGGCAATTTAACTTCACCATTAGAGAAAATTGCTACTTAAAGACTGATTCATCTTTCTTCTTTTGCAGATTCTGCACCACCACATTGCTGCTGTGGAGAAGTCAGCCCTTACCTCCATGGGGCATCCTCTGCTCTTACATTGCAAAAACTTTCGGACAGCACACTTTGTCTTTGGGTCTGAATGGGAATGTCATGAAGTACATGCCTCACTGCTTAAGCTCTCCCAGCCAGGTAGTTAGGCTTTGTGATGTTTTGTGAATAATAGAAAAGCTTGGGGATGAGGAGTTGGGCATAGAAATTGTGGCCAACTGGTAATTGCATTTCTATGAACCTCACTAAAATATTGGGCTTTCTTTATATGCCAAAAGAGTTTCCCCATGGTTTATGAAGCCTGTATCAGAAGATGAAGGTGCTCTCTTGTACAGAAATGCAGGCTGATTGCTTCTTCCAAGTTTGGGTGTTACCAGTAACATTTTTGGGGTCCAGATCTATGACTTTAGGAGTATAGGGGCACTCCTGAAATGGAGACTCCCTCCACTGATGTCGGTCTGCAACTAGCTGTAACCTAAAAACATGTTTATCTTCCTGGTTTATCTGGGTGACTTTGGTTCTCTGAAAATTTGGTATTTGTTTTTATTGATGCTCCACCTGTGATTTCAGTTCCTGATAAGGAAATGCCTTCTCCCATGGTATGTCAGCAATTTCTAGTCTTGGAGAGTTGCCAAAGACATCAAATGGTTAAGTGCCTTCCCCATAGTCACAGAGGCAGAAGTTGGACCCAACTCTTTCTGACTCTTAAGACCATTGGTGCTCTGTCCATTATGACCATGCTGCCTCTTCACAAGAAACCTAACAGTTTAAAAAATGAAAGTCCATTGTAACATTGAAATGTTGTCTCTGTACCCAAAAAGGCAAATTGGATGTAGAATATTTTTTTTCCTAGGGTATACCAAAATGGGTATACCAAAAATGACTAGGAAGCAGCATCTTGGTGTAGTGGTTAGGCCAAATTAACCTCATCTCCTTTTTTGATGGGTTTATTAGATTAAATTGGAGAAGGCTGTAAATGTCTTATACCAGGTTTCAGCAAAGCATTTGACAAAGTTGGCTTCTACCCTCACTGAAAAGATGGAGAGATATAGGTTGTGGGTTAGATGACAGTACAGCTGGGAGCATTTGGAATTGGTTGAATGACCTGACCCAAAAAGTAGTGGTCAGTGTCAGCTTGGAGGGAGGTGACTAGTGGAATGCCCCAAAGATTTGTTCCTGGCCCTTTGCTGTTCAGCATTTTCGTCAGTGACTTGGATGGGAAAAGATCTGAATATATGACAACGAGATGACAGACTTCACTGTGAAGTTTGGATTCAGTCAAAGGGCCGCCCTTGAGGACCTAGAGGGGATTTGTTCTGTGAAGTTTAGATTCTGTCAAAAGGCCACACTTGAGGACCTAGAGGGGATTTGTTCTGTGAAGTTTAGATTCAGTCAAAGGGCCGCACTTGAGGACCTAGAGAGCCACATGTGGCCTCAATGCCACAGGTTCCCCACCCCTATTCTAGAGGAAGGGAGGTGATTGTTCCATTGTATTTTGCCCCTGTCAGGCTATGCTGAGTGTTGTGTTCGGTTCTACTTTCCCACGTTGTAGGAAGGACTTTGACAGACTGGAAGGTACCCAGATAGTAATGGAAGTAGACATCATTCCATATGATAGCTGTTTGAAGAACCTGAGGGTGCTTAGCCTGGAGAAAAGACGATGTAGAGGGAATATGCTAGTTATTTTCCAAGTATTTTGAATGGAAGAAAGGAAATAATTTTGTTGTGCTTGGATCCAAAATGTAGAAATAGAACCAGTTTATAAAAATTACACAGAGGCATACTTTGGCTTAATGACAAACTTTCCAGCAAGCTGAGTGAGCTGCCTTGGAATGTGTGGTGGTTTCCCCTTCCTTCACATAGTCAGGGATACTGAGGAGAGGGGTATCTGAGCACAAACCATTTGGATTAGATGGCTTGAGAGGAACCTTACAACTCCAAGATTCTGGGATTAGTGGAAGAAGACCAGGATTTGAATTCAGATGCGTTGGGTGAAAATCCCAGTTCTTTTTTTTTTTTAAAGTATGCTTCAATCTGTACTCAGACATCATCAGTTCTTTCTCTGGGGATGGGTGGCATTTTTCATCCTAAATCCTTCAGAGTTGTCTTGGATCGTCATATTGCTGAGAATAGCTAAGCCATTCAGAGCTGATCATTTTACAATATTGCAGTTACTTTGTACACAGTCTATTTCACTTTGCATCAGTTCATGCAAATCTTTCAGGTTTTTCCGAGAGCATCCCGCTCATCATTTCTTATAGTACAATAGTACTCCATCGTAATCACATGCCACATCTTGTTCAGCCATTCCCCAATTTATGGGCATCCCCTCACTTTCTAATTCTTTGCCCCCAGAAAAGAGCTGCTAGAAATATTTTTGTACATATAGATCATTTTCTTTTTTTGTTTTTTTTTATCTCTTTTGGGATACAGACCTAGTAGTGGTATTGCTAGGCCAAAGGGTATGCAAGGTTTTTATAGCCCTTTGGGCATAGTTCCAAATTGCTCTACAGAATGGTCAGATCAGTTCACACTCCACCAACAGTGCATTAATGTCTCATTTTCCCCACATCTCCAACATTTACCATTTACCTTTTCTGTCCTATTAGCCAATGTGAATCCCAGTTGTGTTGCTTGCTAGCTTGTGTGACCTTAGGCAAATCACTTGTCTCTGACCTCATTTTCCTCATCTGTAAAATAGTAAAAGTGATCTCTGAGGTCCCTTCTAGTCCTAAATCTATGATTCTGTGATCCCTACCTGTGTGACATTGGGAAAGTGACTTAACCTTTATGGGCCTTGGTTTCTTCTTTTGTAAAATCAGGAGGTTGGATTAGATGGTCTCTAAGGCCCACTTTCAACACTAACTCCTAGAGAACTAAGTCTTTACTTGTTTTATGGATGGCTTCCCTTAAGTCTCCCTGATAACTGCATCATTTTCATTCCTGTTTCTTCTCCCCAGTGAGACCAGAAGAACTTTATGCATTTTCTTATAACCCCAAATCTTCGAAAGATGACAGAGAAATGGGATGGAAAATGATCGACTTAAAATCAGACTACAAACGTATGGGAGTCCCAAATGACTACTGGCAAATAACAGATGCAAACAAAAACTATGAGGTAATTGTGAAAGAGCCACTTGAAATATTTGCGTATTCATGAGTCCTTTTCCTCTTTCTTTGGGGCATAGGCCTAGTAATGGTAGAGCTGGGGTCAAAGGGTTTGCACACTTGAGCATGAATCTGCTTGTTTCATCTCATGTTTCTAGTGGACTTTGTTTACTTCAGTAGGCTTCCTTGTGTGTGGATTTCAGCTATTTGTATGTGTGAGTGTATGTGTGTTCCTCTGGCTCAAATTCTGGCCGTTCCGAGGGTTTATTTTATTGCTGTATATAGTCTCACTATGTCTCATTTCTGGAAATTAATAGCACTATTTGAAAAAAAAACTTTATAACCAGTGTGACATTGGACAAGTTCTTTCCCCTCTGTGGGCCTCGATTTCCCTAACTTGAGGGAAATAGACTATATGGTCTCTAGAGTTCTTTCCATGTCTAAATCCAATAATCCTATGGATAATCGCTGCTAGGCCTGCTACTACCAAATAAATATTATAAGAATTAAGTTGATGTTTGCAATTCTTACTTTTAGGTTTGCAGCACATACCCTCCTGAAATAGTCATTCCAAAAGCGGCTAGCAAGGCAATAGTCATGGGTTGTGCCAAGTTCCGAAGTCGAGGACGTATTCCTGTGCTTTCCTACTTCTACAAAGAGAACAATGTAAGTTGTACATACTGTCTTCACGTACTGTGACTTCTAAATTATTTTCTTTCTTCTTTACTGACTTTAGCTTGGGGGGAGGGGGGCAGAACGCTCAAATTAAGAGATGAAATGAGCATCCTTGGTCATCTCATTCACTCCCATTGCTCAAACTGTCACAGATATGCAGTTAATTCCTAAATTTCTGTCTTCAGCTCTATCCCTCCCCTGACCTCTAGTTCTCCATTTCCAAATTGCAGCGTAATATAGTAGAAGTGGCATTAGATCAGTAGTCAGAGAACCTGGGTTCAAATCTTGCCTCTGCAGTATTTGTGTGACTTTGGGCAATTACTTAATCTCTGGGATTCAGTTTTGCCATCTGCAAAATGAGGGGCTTGGATGAGGTCATCTCTAATGTCTCAGCTCAGAGTCCTTTGATCCTATGAACTTTACATAAGATGTAGCATTGAAAATGACCTTAGAGATCATCTTGTCTAAGATTTTCTCATTTTATAGGTGAGGAAACCGAGACCCAGATGGGTTAAGTGACTTGCACCATTTGCCTGCTGAATAGTCCTTTTAGTCCTTAAATTCAGCTTTGTATAAAACCTAAGATTATTGTCTTTTCTCTCAAAACCTGCTCCTCCTTCCAGACTTCCTGTTTCTATTGCTGCCTCCATCACCTTCAGACTTGGCATCTCTGTATTACCTTTGACTCTTCTCTCTCCATCCATAGCCAATCAATTAACCAAGACATGTTGCTTTTACCTCCAAGTGAATAGCATTTTTCATCCTGGTCCTTTGGAGTTGTCTTGGATCACTGTCTTGTAACGAGGGCTTTCAAGGTTGATCATCCTTACAACATTACTGTTGCTGTGTACGATATTCTTGTAGTTTTATGTTCTGTAGTATCCTTCCAGAGTTCGAGGGTTTCTAGCTATAACATGGACATCATAGATTTCTGTTCCCCTGGCTTTTTGGGTGTGATTTGTAGGGTTGTCGTTGGGAATGCACTCAACTTATGAGCCTGCTCTCCTGGAAAGTGGTGTTTTATTGGGAAGCCTTCTAGTGTATTTCTATTACAAATATTGCTTAGATAAATACTACTTATCATTTTAAGAAAGGTTCTATTTATTCCTATGATCTCTCCTGTTTTAAATAGGAATTAATGTTGTATTTTGTAAAAAAAAAACAAAACAAACAAAAAAAAACAAAAAACAAAAACAAAAACAAAAAAACCCTGCAACTGTTGAGATAATCATATGATTTTTGTTGGTTTTGTTATTGATATGGTCAATTCTACTTAGAGTTTTCCTAATATTGAACTGGCCCTGAATTTCTGGCGTAAATCTCACCAGGTCACAATGTATGTTTGTGATATATTGTTGTAGTCTCCTTGCCAGTATTTTATTTACAATTTTTACATCGATATTCATTAGGGAAGTTGGTCGATAGTTTTCTTTCTCTGTTTTTCCTCTCCCTGCTTTCAGCATCAAAATTTGTAATTATATCCTGTAAGAAATTTGATAGGACTCCGCCTATTTTCCCAAATAGTTTATATAGTATTGGAATTAATTATTTTGTAAATGTTTGGTAGAATTCATTCCTAAATCACCTGGTATTAGGGTTTTTTCCTTTAGGGAGCTCATTTATGGCTTGTTCAATTTCTTTTTCTAAGATAGAACTATTTACATATTCTACTTTTTCTTCTGTTAATCTGGGCAATTTGTCTTTTTGTAAATATTCACCCATTTTACTTAGATTGCAGGTTTTATTGGCATATAATTGGGCAAATAGCTTCTAATAATTAATTTAATTTCATCTTCATTGGTAGTGTATTTACCCATTTCATTTTTGATGCTGACAATTTGGTTTTCTTCTCTCTTTTGTTAAAAATCAAATTAACCAGCTCCTAGTTTCATTTATTAGTTTAATGAGTTTTTTACTGTCAATTTTATTAATCTCTCCTTTGATTTTTCACGATTTTTATTTTGGTGTTTAATTGGGGATTTTTAACATTTTTTAGTTACATGCCCCATTTATTGATCTGCTTATAAATTTTCTGTAAATACTGCTTTAGCTGCATCCCCCAAATTTTGTTATCTTGTCTTATTGTTGTCATTGTCCTTAATGAAATTATTGATTGTTTATTTCATTTGTTCTTTGACCTACTCATTCGTCAGGATTAGATAATTTAATTTCCAATTAATTTTTAATCTGTGCTTCTAAAGCTACTCATGGAATGTAATTTTTATTGCATTATGATCCACAACGGGTACATTTAATATTTCTACCTTTCTTCATTTCTTTGTGAGGCCCTGATACATGGTCAGTTTTTGTGAAGGTGAGAGGTACAGCTGAGAAAAAAGTATACTCCTTTCTATTATCATTCAGTTTTCTCCAGAGGTCTATCATATCTAACTTTTCTAAAATTCTGTTCCTCCAGTGCAGCTCTCTTTCTCACCCCTCCATTTTTTTGGATCATTACAATGTAATCATTGTGCCCTCTGTCTATGTAGGTTCCTTCTAACTGCCCTAATAATGAGAAAATTCTTAAGTTACAAGTATCATCTTTTCATATAGGAATATAAACAGTTTAACCTTATTGAGTCCCTTATAATTTCTCTTTCATGATTAAATTTTTGTGCTTCACTTGAGTCTTATGCTTAAATGCCAAATTTTCTATTCAGCTCTGGTCTTTTCTTCAGGAATGCCCGAATGTCCTCTATTTCAGTAAATGACCATTTTTTCCCCTTGAGGGATTATTCTGTTTTGCTGGGCAGGTTGTTCTTAGTTTTAATTCTAGCTCCTTTGCCTTCCAGAATATCATATCCCAAACCCTCCATTCTTTTAACATGGTAGCTGCTAAAATATTGTGTGATCCTGACTTTGGCTCTGTAGTATTTGAGTGGTTTCTTTCTGGCTTCTTGTCATATTTTCTCCTTGACTTGGAAGCTCTGGAATTATACTATAATATTTCTGGGAATTTTCATTTTAGGATCTCTTTTCAGGAAGTGGTCAGTAGATTCTTTCCATTTCTATTTTGCCCTCTGGTTCTAAGATGTTGGGCAGTTTTCCTTGATAATTTCTTGAAATATGATGTTTAGGCTCTTTTTTTAAAATCATGGCTTTCAGGTAGTACAGTAATTCTTAAATTCTCTCTCCTTGATCTATTTTCCAGGTCAGTTGTTTTTCTGATGAGATACTTCACATTTCCTTCTATTTTTTTCATTCTTTTGACTTTATTTTATTGTTTTTTGATGTCTCATGGAGGCATTAGCTTCCACTTGCCCAATTCTAATTTTTAAGTAATCATTTTCTTCAGTGAGATTTTCTACCTCTTTTTTTTTTGCTTAGCCAATTTTGTTTTATAAGGTATGATTTTCTTCAGTACTTTTTATGCCTCTGTTCAGTTAACAGTTAATTCTCTTTTCATAATTTCTTTTATCACTCTAATTTTTTTCTCAATTTTCCTCTACTGGGGCAGCTAGGTAGTGCAGTGGATAGAGCACCAGCCTTGGAGTCAGGAGGACCTGAGTTCAAATCTGACCTCAGACACTTGACACTTCCTAGCTATGTGACCCTGGGCAAGTCACTTAACCCCAATTGCCTCGCCAAAAAAAAAATTCCTCTACTACTCTTATTAGATTTTTAAAATCATTCTTTTGCTTTTTTTTTTTTTTAGCTCTTTCAGGAGTTTTTAATTGGGCTAGTGTCTAATCTACATTTTCTTTGAGGCTTTTCACATCGTTGGCTTCTTCTGAGTTTCTGTTTTGATCTTCCCTGTCACCATAGTAGATTTTTATAGTTTTGTTGTTGTTGTTGTTTGCTCATATTTCCAGCCTTTTTTTTCCTTTGAACTTTGTGTTTAAGTTGGGCTCTGTTCGCAGAGTGAGAGGGTAGGGCACTGTTCCAGGCTTCAGGCTTTTTGGCACTATGTTTCCCCAGCTAGTACTGGGGATCTATAAGTTTTTTTGGTGTTTCCAAAGTGTTGTGATCCTAGGTAAGGCGTGGTCACTACTCTCCTGGTCTGCACTTTGATCCTTACTCAGAAAGAGCCCCTGATGCCTTGCAGCTGCGAGAGCTCTTCTCTGCCCTGGAGCTACATCTCAGAACTCACTGTGTGCAGTGGAGTTGCTAGCCTAGCACAGGGGTCCCCTGCAATCTCTTTCTGACCAGCTCTTCAATTCCCTTACAGTCTCTGGGCTGAGCACTCCCAAACCTGCTACTGCTGTGACAGCCTTAGCCACCTCTAAGGCCAACTGGTGTTGCTCCCATGTGTACTCTGGGCCAACCCCAACCTCAGTGTCACAGAACTCTCCTCGCCTCCTAAGTCCTCTTGGGCTAGAAAAATGTCTCACCCCAACCTTTTGTTAGCTTTGCTGCTCCAAAATTTGATTTGAGGCATTCTTTTAAAGTTATTTGGAGGAGAGTGTTGGGGAGAGCTTAAATGTAGTGCTTCCTCCACTCAACCATCTTGGCTCTGTCTCCCCCGACTTGTTGAAATAGTCCTCTCTCTTCAAAGCCCTGCTCCGGGCACAATTAATTCATGAAGTTTTCCCTGATTCTCTCATCTTTCTATTTTCCTAGAGCACTGCCTTTGGTTCTCTAGAACCAAATCTAGATTTGCCCCCATCCTATCCAACAGGCATTTATGAAGTGCCTACTATGTGCAAGGCACTGAGAAGACAAAGATTAAATGAAAAAGAAATGCATTCTGCCATGTATGGTGTATATGGCCCGTTTCCCCAGTTGATTGCCAGTTGTAAATAAGTGTTGGTTGATTGACTGATCTTATGGTCTTACCCTCCTTGATGGTAGATATTGTCACTTTTTACCTTCCTAAAGTTCTGAGCACAGGGCCTTTTCTCTAGTACCCAACTGATAAATGTTTGTTGAATTGACCCGTGAAGAAAACGCTGGTCGTGTGAGCCTCTGTTTCCTTTTCTCTAAAACAGAGATCATCAAATGTCGTAATGTATGTAAGGCACTTCGGCAAACCATATAGAAATGTCAGGTCATCTTCCTAGCGTTGGCGCATCCTTTCACAGATGATGAAACTTGAACCATTTAGTCTTTTCCCTGCAGAACTGCCGCTTACTGAGGTGGGGGAGCCTTTCTGACCTGTGGCCTTTGCTGGTTGCAGGCTGCCATATGCCGCTGTAGCCAGCCCCTCTCCGGATTTGGGTCCCGCTGCCTGGAGGATGAACAGATGTTACAGGCCATTAGCCAAGCCAACCCAGCCAGCCCATTCATCTATGTGGTAGACACAAGGCCAAAGGTACCTTTCGAAGGGATTCATTGAAATTCTCAACTCAGCGCTAGGTGTGTCTCGTCACTGTCTGGATGCCCCGGCTATCTTATTCATTCATTCATCCATTCACGTAGCAGATATTCATTAAGCACCTACTGTCTGCAGAGCACTGTGCTAGAGTACATACCAAGTTTGGCTAAGATAGGATTCCTGCTATCAAGGAGCTTACATTCTAATAGGAAGGAAATCTCCCAAACAGAGAGCGATAACACACACTGTCATGTAGTAAGAGCAGTAGGGGCCGCTGAGTGGCACAATGCTCCGAGTGCCAGGCCTGGAGTCAGGAAGACCGGAGTTCAAATCCAGCCTCAGTCACTTACTAACTGTATGACCTTGGGCAATTCACTTTACCTCTGTCTGCCTCAATTTCCTCATCTGTAAAATGGAGATAATAGTAGCATCTACTTCCCAGGGCTATTGTGAGAATCATATGAGGTGATAATTTTAACGCACTTAGCCCAGTGACTGACACAAAGTAACCACTATATAAATGTTAGCTATTATTATTATTGTTACCAAGAAAGAAATAAGGAGTAGTGACTTCCAATTAAACAGTCTTTAAGGCCTATTATATTATATTATATTTATTATATTACAGTACTACGCACTGTAATAATAACTGACATATAGTGCTCTAAAGTTTACGAAGACCTTTTCAGATGTTAACTTGTTTGATCTTCATAACAGCCTTGTGAATATTACAGGCAATATTATCCCCATTTTGCAGATGAGCAAACTGAAGCTCAGAATGATCAAGTGATTTGCCTTCTGATCACAACTGTGTCTGATGTGGCAAACAGTCCTAGGTTGTGCTGCCTTTAGAATCCAGTACTCTGTCCACTACTTAGACATAGTCAGAAACTGTAGCCAGATTTCTACAGCAGCTGTTTTCTCTGGTACAGGTATTCTTAATTTTTTGTTGCATCTTGGCCCCCTTTGGAAGTCTGATGAAGTCCATAGCCCCATTTTAAGAATAATATTTTCAAGTGCATAAAAGAAAATCCTTAGGATTACAAAGGAAACTGGATATATTGAAATGTAGTTATCACAGTATTTTAAAAAACTCAAGTTAATGGACCCCAGGGTAAGAACCCCAACTCTAGTATTGCCCAGGACCGCTGAGGTAGAGGATATCTCCTGTAATTATTGTTTTATTTGTAGAAAGGATTCTTAACTGAAGTCCACACTCCCCCGCCCCCCCTCCCACCATGGGATCAATGGATAAATTTCAAGGGATCCATGAACTTGGATGGGAAGAAAATGGCATCTTTGTTTTCCCTCACCCTCTCCTCTAAATGAATTTAGCATCTCCTTCAATTATTTAAAAATATTTTTCTGAAAAAGAGGCCCATAGCTTTCACCAGACTGCCAAAAAGATCCAGACACAAATAAGGTTAAGAACCTCTGATTTATAGTAATATGTGTCCTAACAAGTTCACTTGCTACCCAGTGGCCATGACTTTTCCTTCCCCAGTGTTGTATTCTGTTTGTTATTCATTTAACAGCTCTTTAATTACCCCGTGTGTCTATGATAACAGATTGCAATTAGCCGCAGTCTCTCTTTGAGCTGATGTATTGCCTTCTAAGACCGTGTTTGTTTTCCTTCTGCCCAGAGTAATGTATATAAGTTATGCCTGAGGTGTTTTGTGTATTTCTTATTAATATGAACCATGCCCAGTGTACTTGCCAATCTGATAAAGCAGGAAGGACTTAGCATCTGCCCTGCCACCATGATGCATGATGACACAGTTAGAGATCATAACATATTGATGAAAGTATATTGCCATTTTCTCAAGTACCAGATTTAAGAACCTGTGAAACTCTACCCTAGCCCCTAATTTAGGCCCTAGTTTTTTTTCCCTTTTATAAGCAGGGTTCAAATGATGTAGAAACTAAAGAATAACATCGTTGAAGCCCCAAGATGAACAAGCTTTGTCCTTCCCTCACCCAGCCTATTGATGCCTGCCCTACCATGTCCTTGATTTGCAGCTGAATGCCATCGCTAACCGAGCAGCTGGCAAGGGGTATGAAAACGAGGATAATTATGCCAACATTCGATTCAGGTTCATTGGTATTGAAAACATCCATGTGATGCGGGGCAGCCTGCAGAAACTCCTGGAAGGTATGAAGGCTTGGTCTTAATTGGGGGGAGAGGGGGAGGAAGAGAGGGAAGCGGGGAGAATTTGCCACAGTATACCTCTTAATGTGTACACAAAGATCATGAGCTTTGAAGATGGAGCCAGAGATGTAACCAGAGGAAGAGAATCAGTTGCCACTGTGGCATTTTAATTGGAATGTACTGTTATTGGCCAATATGGTCTTGAAATGTGGCCAGTTTAGTTTAGGATATAAGGTGCCTGGTAGGAGCAGATTTCAGCTTAGTATATTCATGAGTAAAATCAATAATAATAATAGAACCATCTAGAAATGAGATGAGGTGCTTCAGTAGGCTTGTCCATGTCTGGACACGTTTAAGGGGAATCTGGATGATGGCCCACATGATTGAGTAGAGAGAATGTTGACTTTTGATGCCCAGCTGCTTAAGCTCTCTGAAATAAAATAGTTATCCCGTCCACATTGAGGGGGTTAAGGGCACGCGTCTCTGTGATCTGGAAAATCCACATAAAATTTTTTTGGTAGTCCCTTTGTACCAAAGAAGGAGTTTGAATTATTACAGTATTAAAATATGTTGATATTATACAATATTATACATATATTTTATGCACGTCTGAGTTTCTAAACTTTTTCTGTGTTGTCTGCGGGCCTTCGAGTGTCATCTACAGCTTCCTCAAAACTCCCCCAAAATTCCCATTTAATTTCTTATGCCGATCCACGATATATTGAAACCATGATGGGGAACGTCGCAATGTGGAAGGGATAACTATAGTTGAACTAGAATCAGAGGTGGGGCACCTGCGGCCTCGAGGTTGACTGAATCCAAACTTCACAGAACAAATCCCCTTAAGAAAAGGACTTGTTCTATTAAACTTGGATTCAGTGAGAAGGCAGCACCTGAAGACCTAGAGGGCCACGTGTAGCCTCAAGTCTGCAGGTTTCCCACCCCTAGTGATGATTGCAAAGGGTTCCTCTACTATAAGGGAATTTTGTTTGCTGGACCATGAATATTCCTTGTAAGGATTTTCTTTTTCTTTCTTTTTCAGTTGGGAGGGAGGAAGTGGGAAGTAGAGAAAAGAAATGCTTGTTGATTGAAAAAAATAAAATTTTAAAAAATCAAAGGGCTCTTCTAGCTCTGAGTCTTACAATCCCAAGTCACTAAAGAGATTCATGCTTCATGCATCACATAAGGATTGGATAGACTGCTTTATGAGCTCTCTTCCAACTCTCTTATTCAACAGTTCCATTGATTTCACACCATAGTTGAGAACAACTGAGCATCTGTGTTGGGGAAATCAATAGAGCACTTAACTACAGGAGTGGTAGCGTAGTCCTCTGCCAGAAGAAATATGGCATACTTTTTAGTTTAGCATCATTGTTAGCGGTGAATGCTCCAAAGTTTCCTCTGCACTTTTTGCTTTTACTGCTCTGCTGGGTAAGAACAAAGCCTTGAGCATATAATCTTGGTCACCTGCCATCACCATAGAATCTTTTGGGAAAGATGGACAAAGGAGATTGGGATCCTTTAGAATTCTGGTCTTAGAGAATTTCTTCCACACTATGCATAGGGGAATACTAAACAAGTGATAGAAAAGGCCACAGGAGATAAAATGGAAAATTTTGTTTATGTGAAAATTTAAAAGATTTTGCACAAATAAGTCCAACGTAGTAAAAATTAGAAGGGAAACAGCTGGGGGAAAGTCTTTGTAGCTAGTTTCTCTGATAAAGGTCTCATCCAAGATATATAAGGAACTGATTCAAATTCATAAGACTTAACCATCCCTCGATACAGATATGAGCAGGCAATTTGCAAAGGAAGAAATCCAAGCTATCAACAAGCATGTGAAAAAACACTGGCAGCTCAAAGATTCTGCGTCACATTTAGCAGATGAGGAAAAATGCCAAAAAAGGCAAATGACAAATGTTAAGGGAGCTATGGGAAAACAGGTGCACTGCTGATGGAACTGTGAATAGGTCCAGGCATTCTGGAAAGCAGTTTGGAATTATGCCCAGAAAGTTGCCAAACTGTTCATGCCCTTTGACCCAGCTACACTGCTACTAGCCCTGTACCCAACACAATCAAAGAAAATGGAAAAGAATATGTACGTATGAGAATATTTATAGCAGCTCTTTTCATAGTAACCAAAATTAGAAACTAAGAGAGTATCCTATTGGAGAATAGTTAAATAAATTAAGTTAAATAAATAGCACATTAATGCAATGGAATTTTATTGGGCCATAAAAAATGAAACAGTTTCAGAGAAAACTGAGAAGACATCCATGAATTGATACAGATTGAAGTGAGCAGAATTAGGAGAATAGTGATAATAACATTATAGAGAAAAACAACTTTTGAAAGCTTTAGAACTCTGAACGATACAATGCCACTCACCTCATGTCAAAGGTGATGAACTGGGGCAGTTAGGTGGCACGATGGATAGAGCACCAGCCCTGGAGTCAGGAAGACCTGAGTTCAAATCCAGCCTCAGACACATAACACTTACTAGCTGTGTGACTCTGGGCAAGTCACTTAACCCCAAATGCCTTAAAAAAAAAGAAAGAAGCTCCCCTTAAGTTACCCTCTCCTCTAGCAGCCTCCAAAAAAAAACCCAGAGGTGATAAACTTAAAACACAACAAGAGGCATACATTTTGAGACTTGGCTAATGTGGGAATTGGTTTTGCTGGACAATTCGTATTGAAGGCATTTTATTTTGCTCATTGTTGAGGAGATGGGGGTAGGAATGGAGAGTGGCAGGGACAGATTCATAAAATATATGAAGAAAAGGAACTTGGGGTCCTATGGAACCCTTGTGTTAGGGAATTTCCTCCAGACTTCCAAGGATTCTCAGTTGTGGTATGCCACGTCTAGGACAAGGTGATCAAAACTTGTCCTTGGGTGTGTCATATCTTCTATTCATCTTTCCTCTGATTTTTTTTTATACTGTAATAGACTTTAGAGCAGCAGAGTAGAAAAAAAGAACATTGTTTTAAAGAATGTGAATTTGAATCCTGGCTTTACCACTTACTACTTCGGTGACCTTGGGAAGTCATTTCCCTTCCATGGGCCTGTTTACTTCTCTGTTAGATGAGGGGGTTAGATTAAGTGATCTCAAAGTCACCTTCTAAATCTTCTAATTCCATGAAGCAAGTAGGATTTAAGGCACTTTCGCGTCTCCTGCTGGACAGTGAAAAGGCATCAAAAGTAACTTATTTTCAGAGCTGTTGATACCCTCCCTCCAGGTCCCATGGTAAGCAGAAGCTCTCTCAGGTGTGAATGGAGAGACATTTTTAAAGGACATCTTGATCCTTTACCATACCACTTTTTGGCATCCCCCAGTGCTTTATCTGGAGTCAAATATGTTTTTCTCTAACCAGGCACGATTAACTTGAGTATTTCCCTTTGGTTAGCTGAGAAACTGGAGATCCAGATTCTTGCTTAACCAGCACTGTTATGGATCTGATTGCATGGGTAGTCTACATTGTGCCAGTCATTTAAAGACACTCTGTGATTCCTTAGCTGCTCCCAGTTTGTAAAGTAGTTTATCTAATATGTCAGAGCTCAAAGGGAAGATCCAGATTCCTCATTTCACAAAGAACCAAGACCCAGAGACAGGAAGTCACACAACTAGTAAGTAGCAAAGGCAGACGTTGAACCCAGACCTTATGACTCCATATCCTGTGTTCTTTGTCTCATTCTTGGGGGAATGGGGTGGAAGAGGTGTAGGAAATACTTCATTTCAGTCTTTGGTTTTTTTTTTCTTTCTTAAGTCTGTGAAATGAAAGTTCCATCAATGAGTGACTTTCTTGCTGGCCTGGAGAACTCAGGGTGGTTGAAACATATTAAAACTATTATGGATGCTGGAATCTTCCTTGCAAAGGTAATTCTCAATACATTTCTGTACTCATTTCTTCTGCTGCTGACTGATTAGGGAAGCCTGGCTTTTGCAAGTCACTTCGTCTCTCTGAGGTTCCATACAGTTGGAATCCTGCTTGCCTCAGTCAAACTGAGACATGTTAAAGCCCTTAGCTTGAAAAGGCCAAGGTCTCCCATTGCATCCTGGGCCATATCCAGTTGTCCTGATCCATATCTGACCACTGGACTCAGATGGCTCTGGAGGAGAAAGTGAGGCTGGTGACCTTGCACAGCCTTCCCTTACTCTTAAATCCAATTCACTTGCATGTGGCATCACCTTCCTGATGTCATGGTCATCTTCGAGAACAAAGGGCAAACAGCAAGTAGTACTACAGGGTATAATCATGGTAAATTGTAAAGCATTATAGACAGGTGAGTTTTTTGTATTTCTCCCTATCTCCCTACCATTCTTCCTTTAGCGGAAAGAAAGGAGAAAGGTTTGGGGTAAACGTTTTCTGTCACTTTCATGAAAGCAGAATTATTTTTTTTTTGTGCTGAGGTTTCAGATTCTTAGTCAAGAACCAAATACGCTCAGTGGAGTGTCTTTTTTTTCACTGCCTTGAGTAGCCAGGAGTAGTGGTTACCATCCTCCTTCTTCTGGTGTCTGAACTCAGCTTTAGAACGTGGTCCTAGCATTGCAAAGACAAAACTCAGCAGTGCCACTTTCACTCGGGGACCACCCATGATTCCCGAGGACTCATGATGAAACCTTCTGACCACCTCCTGATTGAGAGGTGAGGGATTCAGGGCGCAGATCGGGGCATTTCTTTTTGGACATGGCCAATGAAGGAATCTGTTTTGTTTGACTATGCATATTTGTAACAGAGCTTTCGTTTTTCTTGCTTTCTCAGTGAGGGTGGGCAGTGGGGCGGAGGTGGGAGGGAGAGGAGGTGGATCTTCTTTGAAAAAAATTATAATTTAAATAATAACTAGATAACATGAATGCATTGATCTATGTGACCTCAAAGGCCTCTTCCAGCTCCAGAGCCAGGACATTCTTTTAGTAATCTATCCGGAGAATCCAATGTAGCTCTTAGGCTGTCCAGCTTTCATCTCTCAACTACGTGACCAACCCACCCCCTCCTCTAGCTGTCCATACCCTCCATGATGTCTCGAACAGAATTCAGTACCTCCCCCCAATACCACATTTCCCTCCTGGCCACCACTCCCTTTTGGCCATGTCTCTCTATTAGAATATAAGCTCCTTGAAGGCTAGGACAATCTTTGTTTTAGATTTGTATCCTTAGTGCTTAGTATTGTCCTTGTCATGGCTTAATAAATGCATTTTCATTCATTAAAAATCCCCCTGCTTCCTCATTTCTCTATTTCTGTTAATGGCACTACCTAGATTCATAGCCTCGGGTGTCATCCTAGATTCCTCTTACCTACCTCAGCCTGCTCAGTTGCTCCATTTTATTTCTCTCTCTGTACCATTTCTTGTATACGTCCCTTTTTCTACACTCACACAGCCAGTCCCTTAATTCAAGTCCTCATCGCTTCTCACAGAGTCCTTCTGACTGGTCTCTGCCCCAAGTCTCTCTTCATTCCAGTCCATCCTCCAAAGTGATTTTCCTGAGGTTCACGTCTGGCCATCACTTCCTTACTCCAATGGTTCCCTGTTACCTGTAGGATCCAAAATGAGCTCTTCTGGTTCAGCTTTTAAAGATCTTCTCAACCTCTGGCTTGTCTCAGCCTTTCCAGCCTAATTACAGGTTACTCTCCCATTCACTTTATGGTCTAGCCAAATTGGTTTCCTTGGTGTTTTTCACGTGTGGCAGGCATTACATCTCTTATTTCTATGATTTTACACTAACTGTCCCCGTTTTCTACATAGTACTCCATACTCTAGGGCAGCTAGGTGGTGCAGTGGATAGAGCATTGGGCCTGGAGTCAGGAAGACCTGAATTCAAATCAGGCCTCAGATACTAGCTGTGTGACCCTGGGCAAGTCATGTCACCCTGTTTGCCTCAGTTTCCTCATCTGTCAAATGAGCTAGAGAAGGAAATGGTTTCCTCATCTGTCAAATGAGCTAGAGAAGGAAATGGCAAACCACTCTAGTGTCTTTGGCAAGAAAACCCCAAATGGGGTCACGGAAAGTTGGACATACTCAACGGCAGTAACAGCAAACTTCCTCCTCACCTTGACCTTTGGGAATCGATCCCTCAATTCCCTCCAAGAATTAGCTCAGGTACCACCTTCACCATGAGTGTTCTCTTGGTTTTCCCCCAGTGCTATCTTGCGTTGACTCTTGCATGTGTTTTGTATCTGCCATCATCAGATCATCTCTCCTATTACAATGTAAACTATTTGAAGGCAGGAACTGTTTCACTTCGTATCACACACACACACACACTCACACACACTCACACATCTAGCATATTGCTGGGGCCATAGTAGGTGCTTATTGATTGATTGACTTTGCATAGGTCAGCTCAGATGAAGTGCACATAAGCACTATTCATTTTTTCTATTGCTGAAATCAGTATGCTATGTAGAAGTTATCTATGCTTCCTTTCCCCTCCCCTTTGTTCCCCTCAGGCAGTGAAAGTGGAGAAAGCTAGTGTCTTGGTCCATTGCTCTGACGGCTGGGACCGCACGGCCCAAGTATGCTCTCTGGCTGGCATCCTTCTTGATCCATTTTATCGGACGTTTGAAGGGCTAATGGTAAGAAATCCTACTTCTGTTTGTGAGGAAATCTAAGTTGACTCTTACCAAAACAGGCTACCCCTGGGGAGATACTTTGGCCTTTGAAAGGCCTTGTTTTGTTGTTATTTTGATCCAGATCTCCTATTTCATCTGTTAAAAGGAATTCCCTCAGCTAATACAGATTAGCATCTTGCCTGTAACATAAAGGTTTAGGGTGATGCTTGTGTCACTGAGAAGTTGTGACTTGCCCATGGCCACACAGGAAGTGTGTATCAGAGGCAAACTTGAACCCAGATCCTTCTGACTCCAAGGGTATTTGCTGTACAGTTATCCCTTCCATATCTCGGGGGGGGGGGTGCGGTTAAGGACATGGCACCCTACTCACCCCCATCCATACCTTGAAAATGCTCATAAAATTTTTTGGCCCTCCCTTTGTACCAGCGGAGAAGTCTGAATTTTTTCTTTTCCTTTCATAGGATGTTTATGGTATCTTATTGTATAATTTGGGTTAAGTATTTGGTCATAGGCTCTGTGTGGTCTGCTGGCCTTTATGTATTGTCTCTGGCATCCACAAAACTCCCCCCAAAATTCCCATTTAATTTCTTATGCCAACCCACAATGTAGCAAAACTACGATGGGGAAAGTCGAGATGTGGAAGGGAGAGCTCTATTACTTGGTCTCCCTTCAAAGTACTTAATGACCTGCTTTACCTTGACAAGTTACTTTCCTTTGTGAGGCCTCAGTTTCCTTTTTTATAAAATGAGGAGGTTGGACTAGACTATATCTATGATGCCTTCAAACTCAAAATCCTATGCTTATTTTAGATTTTTGGTTATCATTGTTTTTCCTTCATCAGGCACACACAGTTAATGTGGTCTCTGTTTTCCATCCTGAGCCCCTTACCCATTACATAGCAGTTTTGTGCAGACACCCTCATGTAAAGGGGTATTTGGAGGGGTATGGGAACAATAGAAGATTTAGGGAAAGAGTGGCGGGGGTGGGAAATATGGCTCCCTGAGATGGGTATGCCTCAGATATCAGCTCTTTGGATTTCAGGTAGATACAACTAGAGAGCTTGCATTTACTGTGAAAATCACAAATGTTTCATTGATTTCCAAAAACCTGAAATCAAAACAGAAAAGCTTTGCTTATGCTTCAGTGGCAAAAGTGCTGGGCCTAGAATCAGGAAGACCTGAGTTCAGATCAGGCTTCAGACACTTATTAGCTTTGTGACCAAGGGCAAGTCACTTCACCTCTGTCTGCCTCAGTTTCCTCATCTGGAAAAAGAGGATAACAGTAGTACCAATCTCCCAGGATTATTGTGAAGATTAAATGAGACATTTTGCAAAGTGCTTCATGTAGTGCCCAGAACACAATAGATACTTAATAAATGCTTATTCCCTTCATCTTTTATTTTAAAAGGCACTTAAATCTAATCCTTTATAAAAATTTATTTAATTCTTGGTATAAGCTCTCAACAGATATACTGCTTTGGATTTTTGTTTTGTAAAGGTTCACCTTAATGTGTTTGTTGGAATAGCATTTAGTGATAACTTCAATGGCCTGGCCTACAATAGTACAAGAGCCAAAAGAATCCATACTATATTTAATGCAGAATATTTTCTCTTGGGGAATCTGAAATTTATGGGGAGTATATTGAGCCCTTTAAATGAATTCTAGAAAACTTAGTTATTGCTTGGGAAATTCACTTTATTCCATCAGTAAAGTAGCTTCAAGTTATAAGAACTTCATTGTAAGAAAGTCACATGAATATTTAAGTCATGGTCAAAGCATCTTTTTAACCTCCCTGATGTTAACTCTTTTCTCTTTTGGTATGAAACATCAGGTCCTCATAGAAAGGGAATGGATCTCTATGGGCCACAAGTTTTCACAAAGGTAAAAACATATGCATGTTGTTTAAGGGGGGCGAAGTTCAGTAGTGTTGATAGTGAAATAAAAACAGCCACATTCTGCATGAAGTTGTCCCAACCGACCTAGTTTCTCAAGAACCTCATTATTACATCATAACCAATTCTGGCAATCACCCATTTAAAACGTTGTTCTGGGGCAGCTGGGTGGCACCATGGATAGAGCACTGGCCCTGGATTCAGGAGGGCCTGAGTTCAAATCTGGTCTCAGACCAGACACTTGACACTTACTAGCTGTGTGACCCTAGGCAAGTCACTTAACCCCAACTGCCTTGCCAAAAAACAAGGAAAAAACAACAGCAACGACAAAAAAAAAAACATTGTTCCTTTGGAACTATTAGTCCCTTATAGCCATATTTCCTTTAATGTCAGGTTTTCTTGCTGCTAGTTAAAAATTTTAGGCAAAGTAACACTTGTATTATCAAAAACCTTCTAATTTCCGGGGCAACCATAGCTTAAATTTGAATGTGGCATCTTTCCTCTTTAAGGATAAATTGACCTTTGCCTCCTTTTGGAGGAAAAAAAAAGAGTGCAAATTTCTGTTGTCACTGTTTGTTTCTCAAAGAAATTAATCAGCACGTATTTATTTGGTTCCTACTATGTACCTCATAGTACCTACAATTATCCTTTCCACATCGTAGGGGTCAAGGCATGGTGCCCCCACGATTTGGAAAATCTGAGTAAAATTTTTTGGCCCTCTCTTCATACCAGAGAAGAAGTCTGATTTTTTTTCTTTTTCTTTCATGGGGTGTTTACAGTACCTTATTGTAAAGTTTGGGTTAAGTATGTGGTCGTGGGCTCCGTGTCGTCTGCTGGCCATTGAGTGTGGTCTGTGGCTTCTGCAAAACTGCCCCCGAATTCCTATTTAATTTCTTAAGCCAACCCCCCGATATAGCAAAACTGTGATGGGGGAGGTTGTGATGTGGAAGGAATAACTGTACTATGTACCATGTATGCTATGGTATAGGGAGCTCAAAGGAATTGTGAGACATGACCCCTGTCTTTTTGGTTGGCTTGATGTGATTCTTATTTATTTCAGCTGGATTTCTAATCTGTCGCCATCTAGGTGGACTAGTAACCATAGGTAGTGAAGTCCAGTCTTCTCTCCTGTGCCAAGGTATGATGTTGAACCTAAATATTCTCTTACTTTTGTTTAAATTGCTAGATGTGCTCACCTGGATGGGGACCCCAAAGAAGTATCCCCTGTCTTCACCCAATTTTTGGAGTGTATCTGGCAACTGATGGAGCAGTTTCCCTGTGCTTTTGAGTTTAACGAGCTTTTCTTACTGGAGATCCATGATCACGTTTTCTCCTGTCAATTTGGGAACTTCATAGGAACCTGCCACAAGGAGCGGGAGGAGCTGAAGTGAGTTGGGGAAGGGGCTGTGTAGGCATCTGAGTCTTTTTTTTTTAATCAAATGAGGCTGGCTGTAAAGGAAGAGAGCCTGGGAGGTACAGGGCAGAGGGAGGGCTTATTTACAAATCAAGCTACAACATCCCCACAGTGCGCATGGAGATATTGAGTAAATACTCTGAAGATGGAGACTGATCAGAGTCAGGAAAGTCAACATCTAGACTATGGCACAGACTTTCCCTCTCACTGGCCTTGCTGGTAATAAGAGTAGCAGCAAATCTGGGTAATGGGTCAGATGAGTTATGTTCTCCCCATTTTACAGATGGAGAAGCAGAGGTTCAGTGGCAAACTCACAACTCGCCTGCTGCTTGTAAGGACTTGAGACTTTTGTGTATGTGTATAGCCACATAGCAGGAACATTGATAGATTCCTCTTCTCCCTCCCCCCAGAAAGATGGGAGCACCATAGTGAATTTGATAGGAATCCACCAAGGCCTGTTTTCACGTCCCATTGTGGTATGGAAGTCCAAGGGAGTACCAGCTCCCTCTCAGCAACAGTCTTCCATCTGCCTTCTGAGGACCAGCCTATGTCCTCGGGCCAGCCACTTGGTGATGAATTCTTTTGTCGTGGCAACCCATAAAACAAAGACAATTTAAAAATAGCCCTCAGTCTGGATGAGAGTTCCATCTGGCTGTGACATCTGTCACCTCATTGATCACCAGGGTTGATTTGACTGATCTGGCTGGGTAGGTGGGTATTCCCTTCCTCCCTCACCACTCCATGTACGTTGCTCCCGAAGCTACACACTTGATCAAAGAGGACGACCTTCCCTGTTAGAGGTGTTCCGTTCTTTGGTCAAGGGTGTACAAGTAGCTGTGTTCCCCTGCTAGAACAAGCTCCCAAGGTCCATTTGTAGGAGAACATAGGATAGTCAAGCTTCCAAGACTCCAGATACATCCAAATGAGGCACTGCACGTTCTAGTTGCCTTCCTTTAAAAAAAAATAGCCCTCAGTCCTATGAAACCAACAGCGATGGGGTGGTGGGAAAGCAAGCAGAGAATGCTAAAGCTCACACAGGGTTAAACCATCTATACAGTTCAAATTAGCTACTGGTAACCTAAATGTGAGATCATCGTCTAATGACCAACCACTTGCCATCTAGCTGGAGGAACTGAATAACGTTGATTTCCACATTATCCTTGTCACCACTTTTGGTCTTCGGATCTTATGAAAAATCCACAAAGTTAAATACAGCAAGCCTATACCCCTCCTTTCATATCCATATAAAATCATTTATAACAATAATCTACTTGTGTATCGAGAGCATCTTTAATGAGGCAGGACTGTCACAAGCAATATAGCACAGTAGACACATCTTTACCATCATATGACCAGTTGGTAGATGTAGAGAATACAAAATCTTGTTGTCTTGATTGTTTATTAGTTCTTCAAAGAGAGAGTTGATTCAGTAGAACCAAATGCAGCCTTATAGCTCTCCTCCAACAAGGTGGCTCCCTTCTGTGGGTCAAAATTCGTGAGGACTCCTTGGGAGAAAGAACAGCAGAAATGACCTTGTTTGACCTTTTAACCATTAATATCAGATGAGGTATAAAAGAGAAGAACTCAAACCAAGGGTGGGGCCACATGTGGCCTCGAGGCCTCAGGTTCCTCACCCCTGAAACTATCCAAAAGTGTTTGCCACAGTCTTGGAGGAGATCCGACACAGAGTTCAAGTTGAAGAGGGATTGATTGCCTATCCACGGTGACTTCCTCCAAATGCTCCTGTTTCTGGATGACACCCTTGAATACTGCCAGGCCTCTTTACTGAGATCCATAACCACTCAACTAAGTGTCTGTGCAAGAAGACCCAAGTGGGTGAAGCTGCTCATCTAGGCTCTAAGTTGTGGATTGCACTCAGGAAGCCCTGCAATGGTCCATGGATTGGTGCCACCAACACAACGTCATCTGGAAACAATATGTATTGTGGGCAAGCACTGCAGAAATACGGAGGAGGAGAGCAGTGGGCTGAATTGGCTTTGCAAACATGCAGAGTTCATTTAATGACCTCATGTGTCTCTCTGATGTGACATTCTGCCCTTCTTCTACTGGTGGCAGTGTTTGGCCACTGGTGGCGGTATTTGGCCGCAAGTCACAGTAAGTGCCTCTAAACTGTAAAACTCCTCTTTTGCCTATAAAACCCTTCACAATGTGGATCTGATCTTTCTTTCCAGGCACATGTACTCTCTTCCTGCCAAATTGACCTACTGCTATTCACTGTACATCAGACGTATCAAATTTGTGGCCCTTGTGGCTAAACCAGATTAAAATGCAATTGGGAAATGTTTAACAAAATAAATACAAATACAATAAGATATAGATAATTGTGGTTTTCTAAGTCAATATGCGGTCCACGGGGATTAGTTTCTCTTTGAGTTGGACACCATTATTATACGTGATATCCCATCACCCACCTCTGTATCTTGGCATACAGCGTCCCCCATGCCTGGAATACTCATGGAACCCTTAATTCTTCTCAAGGTGCCTATCAAGTACCACCTCTGACAAAAGGCCTTTACCGATCACCTCTGTTGTCAGTGCCTCTGCCAAAGAAATTACTTTGTATGCATTTTTTATTTATTTATCTTTGTACACCTTGTATCTCTCCCAAGTTAAAGATAAGCTCCTTGTGGACAAAGAAGGCCTTTTTTTGTCTTTGAATCTCAGTACTTAGCACAGTATCTGGCACATAGTATATGCTTGTTGAATTAAATTGGCATTAAAATTAGTATCACCCAGAGAGTACATGGTGGGTGTGCAAAGGAGAAATGGAGCAGTGGATGCCAGCAAAGAAATATAATCTCAAAAAAGAAGATAGGCTGGTTATGTGGCAAAAACAAAGACACTGATATCTCTTTGATATCAAGAGAGATCAAGGAGGGGCAGGTAGGTGGTGCAGTGGATAGAGCACTGGCCCTGGAGTCAGGAGGACCTGAGTTCAAATCTGGTCTCAGACCAAACACTTGACACTTACTAGCTGTGTGACCCTGGGCAAATCCCTTAACCCCAATTGCCTAAAAATAAAAACAGAGAGAGAGAGAGAGAGAGAGAGAGAGAGAGAGAGAGATCAAGGAAGAGAGATTGTATGAAGCCCCAGAGTGAACCTATGAGAGGACTCAGAGACATTGACAGACACAGAGAGGTGGTCATGGGCTTCATCGGAGGTAATATCCACATCAATTACAAGACCTACCTTTGAATATTTGGGAGTGAATTTTTTTAGACAGATAATCTCAAACTTATAGCATTTTAAAGAATTGTTCAAAGTTACATGGCCAGTAAGTACCACAGCTGGACACTTTGACAATACCATGTCACTAATAAACCTTTCCACCCATGATATCTCTCATCTATTTTCCCCGTCTGCCCTTACCGCCCCTCCAATTGAGTTGTATCACTTCCTACAAAAACTTGACTGGTTCACAAGGTCAATCGGACTTTGTTGCTTTTGTTTTTAAACAGAATCTTTGAAAGAACCCATTCCTTGTGGCCTTTCCTATTACAGAAGAAAACCGAGTTCAGGAACCCACTGTACAAGGGCATCACTGCTTACGGGGTACTTCATCCCAACACTTTACCGTTCAGCTTCCAGTAAGTTCCTAAGCTGTGTTTCTCCTCTTCTCCTTTCAGAGTAAGAGGAGTAAAGATGATGAGGTTTTATTTTGTTATTTGGCTACTTTTTGTTAGTTGCCAGTTTTCCCCCAGTAGCACCTTGCCAGAAAGTTGGGAAAAGAGAAACAGTGAGCTAGAAAACATGAAGGATAGCTCCACGTAGCGGTGGAGGATAGCTCCGTGTGGCAGCAGAGGATAACCTCATGGTGGCAGAGAATAGCCCCATGTGGTGGCGGAGGATAGCCACGTGTGGCGGTGCATGCCTGGAACCCCTGCTTTGGGAGAAGCTGAAGCTGGTGGAGTCCTGAGCTATAGTCAGCTAAGCTGGCCCAAGGAAGAAATGGGGCAGGTCAAAGCTTCTGTGCCAAGCAACAGTGGGATTGGGCCCTTGAATAGACAGTGTGCTTCTAGCCTGGGCAAGATAGGGAGGCCAGTCTCCAAAAAATTTTCAAAAAGAAAGGAAAATATAGGGAAATTGACTTTGTTTGGTCAGCAACCATATCAAGAAGCAGAACTCAGGGACCACATTGAAAATCTTAACTGCTGGCAGCTCTGTCTAGATGCTCATACTTTCCACTAACGAACTGTCAGAATCTGCAGTCACTTCTAACTTATCTCTGTGCCAAATTGGCCATGGCTAATGGAAATCCATTAAGGGCAGCTAGGTGGTGCAGTGGATAGAACACTGGGCTTGAAGCCAGAAACACCTGAGTTCAAATCCAGACTAAGACTATATGTGTGACCCTGGGCAAGTCACTTAACCTCTATTTACCTCAGTTCCTCATCCATAAAATGGGGGCATGCTGGAGAAAGAAATGGCAAATCATTCCAGTCCCTTTGTCAAGAAAATCCCATGGACAAAAATCCATGAGGTCATGTAGAGTCGGACACAACTAAACATCTGAACAATGACGAATGGAAATCCACATACATACTTTTAACCTTGAAAGTAATTTTAGTTCAACAAACATTAAGTACCGAATATGTTTGCAGGGTGCTATGAATGGATATGACCAAGTATAGTAAGCTTCAAAGAGCTTATTATCTAGTAGGACAATGGCTAAATACACCAATAACCATTAAATAGAGGCAGGAGTACAGAAGGTAAAAGAGGGATCTAGGCAGAGTGCTCTGAAACATTTGAGGAGGAAAAAGAGAGATAGGAAAGTATCAGAACAGAAGAGCTCTTGCTCTTGAAGGGAAGGACTTCAGCAAACAGAAATGGAGGACTGGAGCCCTTTCTAGGCATGGAACCAACATGAACAAAGATATGAATGTGGGATGGGGTCAGATAAGACACAGGGATGAAGAGGAATCCATTTGGCTAGAAGATAGAGTACGTGAAGGATGAGCTATGTGGTTGGAGAGATAGGGCAGGGCCAGACTGTAGAGGACCTCGAATGCCACAGCAAGGAAACACTTTGTTCAGCAGTCTATGAAGAACCACTGAGGTTTTTTGAGTAGAGGATTAACATAGTCATACTGGCACATATGGAAAATTGCTCAGACTTTGATGTAGACAATAGATTAGATGCAGGGGTGGGGAACCTGTGGCCTTCTAGGTCCTTGGGTGCGGCCTTTTGACTGAGTCCAAGGTTTACAGAACAAATCCTTTTATTAAGGGGATTTGTTCTGTGAAGTTTGGATTCAGTCAAAGGCCCACACTTGAGGACTAGGGGGCCACGTGTGGCCTTCTAGGTCCTTGGGTGCAGCCTTTTGATTGAGTCCATGGTTTACAGAACAAATCCTTTTATTAAGGGGATTTGTTCTGTAAAGTTTGGATTCAGTCAAAGGGCCTCACTTAGGGATCTAGAGGGCCACATGTGGCCTCGAGGCTGCAGGTTCCCCACCCCTGGATCAGAATGTGGGTAGACCAGAGGTGGGAAGCCTGATCTTTCTGCCTCCAGTAATTTCAGCCTCTCCACTTACTCTGCAGAGTAGCCAAACAGCCTAATCTGAGGTCTTTTTCCTGTACCTGCTCACCCTGGTGTATAGCTAGTTGCTTAATGAACTACATGGAAATGCTCAGACTTTGGAACAGCCTAGACAGCAGATAAAAGAAGAGAAGCAGAGGAGCTGGATTATCTATTTCTATACTTTGATTAAGTCAGAATTAGTTACGTTTAAAAATAATACATTGTTGGGGCAGCTCGGTGGTGCAGTGGATAGAGCACCGGTCCTAGAGTCAGGAGGACCTGAGTTCAAATGTGACCTCAGACACTTGATACTTACTAGTGGTGTCACCCTGGGTAAGTCACTTAATCCCGATTGCCTCACCAAAAAAAAAAAAAAACAAACAAACAAAACAAAAACAATACATTGTTGTTGTGCATTTGCAATAGCAGTATTGATTCTTCAGCAAATCTTGTCCCAAACTGCTTAATTACATAGCACGCTCTTTGCTTTGCACCTCTCAAACATAATCACCATGTAATTTTGGGTATTAGAGTGGCAATAATTCTATCCTTCTACTAAACCGTAAGTGCTATGAAGTTTGCGACTGTCCTATATAAATTTTGTATTTCCCCCAGTGCCTAGGATGGGGCTTCTGCAAATGGTCAGTGCTTAATCAACATTTATCAAGGCACAATCATTCTGGAAAGCCATTTGGAATTCTGCTTTTAAAAAAGTCACTAAAATGTGCATAGCTTTCGACCCAGAGATTCCATTGCTGGGCATATGAAATGCTGGTCCATTTCCAGTGTCTCCCCAAACTCTGAGTGTGATTTGAAACTTTTAATGCTTTACTAGCTTCAGTGTTTGAGTACACATAGCAACACTTTGTAGTAGCAAAGAACTGGAAGCAAAATAGAACCTTATTAGTTGGGGAAATAGATAAATGAATTGTAATGAGGGAGAGAGGAAATAAGCGTTTATGAAGGGCCTGTTGTGTGCCAGGCACTGTGCTAAACCTAATGTGATCCTTATAACAACCCTGTCAGATAGGTGCTATCATAATCCCCATTTTACAGTTGAGGAAACTGAGGCACACAGGTTAAGTGACTGGGCCAGAGTCTCACACAACTAGTAAGTATTTGAGGCCAGATTTGAACTTGGGGCTTTCTGACTCCAGGCCCAGTGTTCTATAGCACTATACCACCTAGCTGCTTAATGGTACCTGTATGTAATAGAATATTATTGTGCCATAAGAAATGATAAGCATGAAGAATTCAGAGAAACTTATAAAGATTTTCTAGAAATTAATAGAGAGTTAAAAAAAGCAAATTCAAAAATATATGCACTCGGATGTTTAAAAAGTTTGGGAGACACAGTTTATGGGTAATTTGATCCTTTTATTACTAAGGCCAACATGTTTATTAATAAAAAGATGGCCATTTGGCTGTCCCTCTTAGACCAAAGACCCCTCATGGCAGTGGGCTCACAGTTTATATGCCCTTGGTGTTCCTGAGGGTTGCAGTCAACTCTGATTGGCTAACAATTAATGAGAAAATGAATATTACAAAGTGGGTCTTGGAAAATGTGACTTGAATGACCCAAATCTTGGTCAAAGAGATGATAATTTCCATATCGCCTGGCTGATAAAAGGGAGAATCAACATTTTCCCAGACCTGTCTGAGTAAACACAATGAGCAGGAATGCACTCATTAGCCTAAACTTCGAATTTCTTTTATTGTGTCTGATTAGATCTCAGCCATCCTGGCTGGGTAAGTCTTTGAGAAAGATTTCCCACACTGGTTGATTTCTGGATGAGGAAGTAGACAAGGGGGAAAAGGTTGGTCCTAATTCAATAATTATTTATTAATACAAGAGGGAAATATCATTTCTCTCAGCACCATGGCTGTAACAATGTTAGTTGGTTGGTGGTTGTCCGTCGTTCTCCAAGAGGACCAAAATGGCATCACTGTCGAGTCGATGTAGGGTGTGACTGTACAAACTGCAGCAATGTAAAGGAAAAGGGAAAGTGAACCCTAAATGTTGTGACAGCCCTGAAGGAGAGGGTGAGGCATCATGGGTACGCAGTGCTGCATTCCCTATCATAAACAGTCCATGTGTTCGTTTCACTTTTTTCCCCCTTTTTATAAGGAATGGCTTGCTGGGTGGGAGTAAGGAAAGGAAGGATCTATTCAGAGTGAATGTGATATCAAAACAAAAGACATCAATGAAAATATTTTAAAACAGAAATGTTCATTGAGTGAAATATTTTTTTTTCTCCTGGAAATATCTTGTGTCCTGGCCATGGTGAAGGCTTTGTTGAAAAGCTTTCCTTTTAACTTCTGTTTGGTGCCTTTCACAGTGACTGTTTTGGATGGGTGGAAGTTGATATTGAGAAAAGGGCAGTGACCTTCTGCCCCAGTGTGACTGGCTACTCTCGTTCCTTTTCTTGTGCTTTTGAAGGTTCTGGTGTGGAATGTACCATCGTTTTGACAAAGGGATGCACCCCAAGCAAAGCATGCTGGACTGTCTCCTCCATCTTCTGAATCGGCAAGTGAAGATGAAGGAGGACATGACACACTTAGAGACTGTGAGTTTCTGGGGGCCCTCCAAAGATTTCCTTCCTCAGTTAGCCTGGCCAGCCCAACTCCAAGGTTGCTCCTTCAACCTGCTTGCTGGGTTCACCTTTTCATGCAGAATTTTAAGTGACTTTAGGTAACGCATCCAAATTCACATCAATTAAGACCCCTTAGAATGCTATAGGGAGAAATGTAAAGTCCCGCCCTTGGGTTCCGAAAATTAACTGGACAATCGAGGGTGAGGAAGTCATGGCTCAATGCCAGTCCACGTGATAAAGGCTGGAGAGTTTTAGTGGACACTAAGCTCAGTGTGAGTTACATAGGCGAATTGGCAGCCCGAAAAGCTAATTTTGTCCTAGCCTGTTCTAATAATAGCAGTATGGTATCCAGAATAAAGAAGCTGCCTCCCCCTGCCCCAAAGTCAGATGTAGAAATACAGTTATCCATTCCACATATAGGGGGTAAAGGGCACGGCACCCCTGCTATTTGCATAAAATTTTTTGGCCTGCCTTTCATACCATATAAGTCTAATTTTTTTTTCTTTTTCTTCTATGGGGTGTTTACAATACCTTATTGTAAAATTTGGGTTCAGTATGTGGTCATAGGTTCTGTGTTATCTACGGCTTCCACAAAATTCCCCCAAAATTCCCATTTGATTTCTTATGCCAACCCGTGATATATTGAAACCATGATGGGGAAAGTCACAATATGGAAGGGTTAACTGTACCAGGATAATACCTGGGAGAGAGTGGTCACAAGCAGAAAGGAGAGGATAGTCCTTCCTGCTTTCCCCTTTTCTGAGCAAGCCACATCTGGAATCCTGCATCCAGGTCTGAACACTATTTTCAGAAAGGTTGACAAGCTAGAGGATGTCCTAAGGAGGACAATCTTTAAGGATGGGTGAAAGATCTTAAAGTTCTTGATATGAAGATAATTGAAATAGGACTATTGTATGAAAATTATAGTAAGATTTCAACTCAGTATAAGGAAAACCTTTTACTTACTAGATAGTTCCCTAAGTAAAATGGGATTCCTTAGGAAGTAGTGAGTTCCCCATGACTGGGCATGGTCAAGTGCAGCGGTGGGGAACCTGTAGCCTTGAGGCCACATGTGGCCTTCTAGGTCCTCAAATGCGGCCCTTTGTCTGAATCCAAACTTCCCAGAACAAATCGCCTTCATAAAAGGATTTGTTCTATAAAATTTGGACTCAGTCAAAAGGCCACACCCAAGGACCTAGGGGGTCATATATGGCCTCGAGGCCACAGGTTCCCCACCCCTGCTCAAGTGGAAGCATCTTGACCACTTGTCTTGACCCACAGAACAATTTAGGAGAGACTTCAGAAGGAATTTAGACCAGTTTGACCATGAAAAAGAATCTTCTTCACAATTGTGCCAAGAAATCTTTACCCAGCCTCCACTTGGAGGCAGTAAGTGATGAGGAGCCTATGTCTCCTAAGACTGCCCATTGTCCTTTTCTACTGCTCTCAGCTTTAGGAAGTTTTTCATTTTGTTGAGCTGAAATCTCCCCAATTTCCCACTTCTTCTGGCTATCAAGGGGACAGAGAGGTTGAGTCAGATGACCTCTAATGTTCCTGACAACTCAAAGTTTATAGGACTTCCTGAGTAATGCTTTTCCTCAATGACTGTTGGCAAAAAGGGCAACCAGCTATTTCAACAAAGGTGTTGGTTTTATCAGTTTGGTTGGAAGGAAGGCGTAAGGAACCAGACTGGCACTCGATGGTGCAATAGATCCAGGGGCGGGGAACTTGCAGCCTTGAGGCCAAATGTGGCCTTCTAGGTCCTCAGGTGCAGCCTTTTGACAGAATCCAAACTTCCCAGAACAAATCCTCTTCATAAAAGTATTTCTTCTGTAAAACTTGGACTCAGTCAAAAGGCCACACCAGAGGACCTAGAGGGCCACATGTGGCCTCGGGGCTACAGGTTCTCCACTCCTGGATAGCCTAAAGGCATGAGTGATATTAGTAAGGTGCAATGTACCCACCCTACAGATAGATAGTGAGTCTGAACTTAGAACTTTGCTGGTTTAAGGAGCTCCCTGATGGAGGAATTCCTTGTACCTTCTCTTCAACTTAGAGTCTTAGAGACTTACCTAGAGCACTAGGGGATTAAATGACGTGCCCAGAGTCACACAACCAGTATATGCCAGAAGGAGGGTTGGAACCTAAGTCGCATCGGTTTCAAAGCCAGGTCTCTTGCCATAACTCTGTATTACCTCTCTGCCCTACTCCCCTGATTAGTGCGAAATTGTTCTCATTTACTATGAGGAAAATCTCTTTGACGTGCCTTTTCCTGTCCTTTCCATATTAATCATTAACTGATGTTTGAGAGCTTTTGCCGTCACCTTTACTAGTAAAAGCAGATTTTCAAAGTTGGAAATGGGTATTAAATGACCAATTTTAAAAGATCTCTTTAGATAATGTAACGTCTGATGAGCTACCTCATTGGAGAATAGGCTTAAAATGGAGGATGTGTGTGGAAGGGAGGAGGGGGGAGACCCCCGTGAAAGAGAATTCTTCATCAGGGTCTGCTCTTTGTCCTCCAGGAGTGAATCAGCTCTATTCAACTAAGGCACTGCTTTTCTGTTCATTGTGACTGGGCAAGTAGCCATTTTTGTTCCAAAAATTAAATGTATCCTGAGCACATCAGATCCCAGTTCCCCTCAGCTTGTGGATATATTGCTGGGAATAAAAAAAAATTGTAATAACTTGTTTTCCAGTAGTTGGGGAAAATTGGAAGAGATTGACCTCCCCTTCCCCCACTCTCCCGAGATTCGGGACTTTAGAACCAGTTCAAGGCAGAATTTGGAAGAAGGGAGATTTTTTGCCCTCCTTCTCTCTCCTCCTTTTCCCCAGCCTGGCCCCACACACAGACCAGCATCCTTTGTGCCATTTCAATGGCTTCCTGCTAAGTCTTATTAAAGGTTCTTTGTCCTGTCTTGTTCCCATGGAGCCTTGAGGCGTGACTGGCTTGCTAATGCCATCCTAACTGACCCACTCCAAGATGTGTCGGTGCATTAATGTATTTTGCCGTCTTGGCGTCAGGCTGTCTGATGTATTTTTTTTTATTTTTCATTTCATTTATTTTAGCGATTTTTTTTTATTTTTAATATTCTTTTTTTTTTTATTTTGAATTCTGAATTCTCTTCCCCTCCCCCACAAGGCTGCGTTTTAAAATAGTATTCTAGGGTAAAGTGTCTTATCCCAAAGCAATGAATCTCTATGGACGGGAATTTGAAGACCTTTGGCAACTGGTAGAGATATTTGGGGGAGTGGGGATGGCTTCAAAGCAAGTGAATTGAGTGCCAGTGAGGAAGATGGTTCATGCACCTGCCTATGCTGTTTGGTTTCTTCTCATGTTTCACAGTTCCTTTTCTCTCTCTTGCTCTCTCTCCCCTCCCCCCAACCATTCCCTGTTGCTAATATAGAAGCTGCCAGGCCTCAATGTTCTCTCCCTGGAAGATCCTTGTATTCAACCTCAGACTGAAAGTGCCTTGAGTAAGCCTCTGAAAAATCTGCCGCCTGACATTCCACAGAGCAGTGACCAGCTGCCACCTGCCCTGCTCCCCAGTGGCAGCCTAACTGGGGAAGGAGATGCACTGCCTGATCTGTCCCCAAAGCAAAAACAGTCTGTGTTCACCTCAAACCAGCCACCCAGCTCTGGAAATAGAGGCCAGCATCAAGAAGAAAAACATCAGTGATCTGGCTGCATTGAGGGTACAGTGAAGTAGATAAAACAATATAGTAAAACCTCCCTGACTAGTCTTTGCCCTTCTGCCTGAGGTCATCTACTTAATTGTTGATAGGCAAAGTAGTTCTCTCTCTCTCTCTCTCTCTTTTTTTTTTTGCTTTTTTGGTGGAGTGATTGGGGTTAAGTGACTTGCCCAGGGTCACATAGCTAGTAAGCCAAGTGTCTGAGGCCGCATTTGAACTCCGGTCCTCCTGACTCCAAGCCAGGAGCTCTATCCACTGCGCCACCTAGCTGCCCCCAGAATATTCTTCTCTAGGGCCTATATGGAGTCCAGAAAAGGAATCTCTGCCCATTATTCCCTGCAGATGAAGTGATCCATGTGTATGTGCCAAGCTGTGGGAGATAGAGATGAGGAAAAAAAAATGTGCCGTTGTGTTAGAATGGGATTTTTGGTCAGAAATTCCATCTTTGCCCCCAAGCCCTACAGAAAAGAAAACAACCCCAGCCATTTCTACTGCCCTCTTTTTGATACCCTTCCTTCTCCATCCTTACTGACTCATCCTAGAATACATGGAGTCATTGGAGATTAATGCAACAGATCAATACAGTAAAATCATGCTAATTTTTTTTTGAATGGAGAGGAAGAGGTCTGAATTCTAGGCTCTTGTATAAGAAAATGTCACTTTGAAAGACACATAATAATAATGCACAGCAAGAACTCATATTTCTCCCCGCACTTGCTGAGGGAATGGAAGGGACTCATAGACAATAATTCTTAACTACCTTTTTAGCATGAATGGAAACAGGTGGGTTTTAGAGGCATCAGAAAATGCAAAAAAAAGAGCTCATAGTCCCCCAAATCCTATATAGCATTCATTTGCTTAAAAACTTCTTTTCTCCAGAATAGTACAAAGAAGTTTCATTTCAGTGACAAAAATCTCAAAATGCAGAGATCTCAGAGGTCCTTCAATTCATCCTCACCAGGAATCCCTCCTGCCCCATCACTAGTAAGGAGTCAATCTAGCCTCTGTTTGAGGACTTCCAGTCTTTAAAGGATGGGAGCCCATTACCAAGCATGGAAAACTCATCTCCTCTCTGTACAATCCTTGTTATTGCTAGGAAGATCTTTACATCAAGCCCAAATCTGCTCCCTTATTACTGAGCTCTGTTACTTAGCCCAGTTCAGTCCTTTGAGACCAAGAAGAGCGAATCCAATCTTCCCTCCCATGACAGCTCTACCAGAACACAAGGACAGTCATCATAACTCCTCCTCCTTCAGCTCCCCAGTCTCCTTCTCCATGAAGATCCCTTATCCCTTCTTCAAATGGTCTGTATCCAAGCCGCCCTATTCTAGAGACATTCCAGAAGCTTGTCAACGTACAAGCCAAACTACGTAGTCTTCAATTCCAAATGAGTGAAGTCAGAATTATTGAAGTTTTCCTTCAACCTCTTTGGTTGGGGGATTGAAAATGTCATTGCTTTGACCATTGACTTGCCCACGCATCTGGGTTCCTCAATATATGATCACATCAGAGGAAAAGTCATGTCCTATGCCCCTTTTTCCTTTTTTGTATCCAGTCCCTTATTTTCCATGTCTACATACTTTCCAGAAAGTCTTCTTATGACAAAAGTACTTGGTTTTTTCTCTTATCATCCTGTCCTTGTTTTCTCTTGAATGAAATTGAAGAATCAAAATTGACACGTGTAAATTTTTGGATACATGTGGAGAAGAAACTCCTTCTTTTTGAAAGTCAGCAAACTTTAGAAATGTCCCCAGTCCTGGAGCATGCCTAAGGCTTCTGGGAAGGATCTATGCTAGGACTCCTTTTGAGGAGCAATGGGGGAAGAAGTAAACAGAGAGACCCCAAAACATACTCTTCTGGGATCTCATTTGAGCCCGAGGAGAACATGTCCCGAGGAAAAGAGTTGTCTCTGAAAACTAAACCAGCCAGATACAAATAAAATTATCTTGTCTAATCGAACTGTCTAATTCCTCCTATGTCCCTGCCCCGCTTCATTCTTTTCAGTGCTTGTTTAGCTGAAAGATGCCATTCACTTGTAGGTCTCAATAGGAGAGGGTGACCAGGATGGGGCCTGGATTGTTTTTTTTTTTTCCCTTTGCTCTAGTCTGTTAGCATTGACAACTTTCTTTTAGGAAAGGGATTTTCACTTCTTGAATTTTATTTTTGAATTTGACAAACACTTCTAAAGCATCTGCTATGTGCCAGGCACAGGGCTAGGTTTGGAAACACAAGGACAAAAAACAGTCCTAGCCCTAAGGGGACTTAAATTCCATCTGTACCATTAGCCCTCAACCTTGCTTCCTGAGCTAATTTCATTCAGAAGCTGCCATTTTCTTCTTACTCCCCATTTCAGTCCCTCCTTCTGGAAAGGGAGTCCCTTGTTTGGGAGTTCAAAGTCACAGGAGCACCCCATCAGCAAAGAAATCAATTCATCTCTCCCAAGAAATGAAACAAGTCCCATGAGGCCGAGGGGTGGGGAAGAGGCAAGTGTGACCCTATGACTCTCTTTGCAGAAACCATGACTGTGGATCTGGGCACCGCTCCACCAAGCGTCATAATCCGTGAGAAAGGAAGATACGGGACCCCAGGATGTCCTCAACAGGAATTACCCTTGACCACTCCCTGGAAATTTGCTTTTTATTTATTTTTTTAAAGGTTTTCTTGTTTTTATTGATACGTTTTGCTTTTCTATCACATTTATTTCTGAATTTGTTCCTTATGCTTCCCCTCCCCAAGAAGTCAGCCCTTGTAACAAAGATTTTTTAAAAGAAGGAAAAAAAAAGCGGTTCAGTAAAATTAACCATTGCCTCAACTATGTTTGACAATATATGTTATATTCTCCATCCATAGTCCTCCACTTCTTCAACTGAGGGAGGCACGTGCCTTCAGGACAAAATTTGGTTATTATCATTATACAGGACTCAATTTCCATTTTTTATTCTTTCCATATATATTATTCACTTAACAGTGAATTCAGAGACTTGGACAGTGGTCTAGTCATTCATTTCTTCCTCTTTTCTTTCTCCCGATTCCTTCAATTCCCCTTAAATCTTTTACCTTTGGGGCCTTTTTTGGCCCCTTGATGAGCCGTCTTTCTTTAACCCCATAATTCAATCTTTTTTTCCCTTTTTTTTTTTTTTGGCTAGGCAATGGGGTTAAGTGACTTGCCCAGGGTCACACAGCTAGTAAGTGTTATGTGTCTGAGGCCATTTATTTTTTTCCCTTTTAACAATAGGTTATAAACAACCGAAAATTATTTGTTAGTGTTTTCTTGATAATTGGACTGTTTCCCTTATGTTCCTATTGTTTGAGGTTTTTGCAAGTCAAATAATCGGCTGTCCTTTGTGTTTTTGTTTGTTTATTTTATCAAGAATGCCCCAAATGCCTTTTGTGGTGGTGGTTGTTGCTGTTGTTATTGGGTCCATCTTTTTTCATTGATGATTAAGCTTAGATTTTCAGGGTGTGTTCTTTTGATTGCACCTTGTGCTCCCTTTGCTTTTTGCAATGTATTGTTGCATTCTGCTGTGATTTCTCATAAATGTGGACTAATTCTGTTATTTGAATTGCCATTCCTTCATATTTGCAGCTCTCTCTCATATGCTCTCTCTCTTTCTCCTCCTCCTCTTCTTTTTCTTCTCTTTCTCTTCCTCCTTTTTTTTTTCCGGCAAAGCAATTGGGGTTAAGTGACTTGCTCAGAGCCGCACAGCTAGTAAGTGTTATGTGTCTGAGGCTGGATTTGAACTCAGGTCCCCCTGACTCCAGGCTCGATGCCCTATCCACTGTACCACCTAGCTGCCCCCTTCTTCTTCTTCTCCTCCTCCCCCCCCCCCCCCCCCCCACTCAACCTCATTAAGCAAGGCAAATTTCAATATTGGCTTTGTCCAATTCTGCACCTTGACTTTATCACCTCTCTGTCAGGAGGCAGAGTAGCATGTTTCATCCTATATGAGTCCTCTGGAATCATGGTTAATCATTATATTGACTGTCTATTTCCTGGCTATTCACAAGATGTATTTGTTATTGAAAATGCTGAAATTTAGCCACTGTATGAGAATTCTGAAGCAGGTCCTTTCCAAAATCTGTGGGTGAGCTTTGTTGCCTCTATTCAAAAGTTATAGATAGCTTTCTTGGGTCATTTCCTGCAATATTATAGTCAAGTTTTTTTTTTTTTTTGGTTACTTTGTTATATTTAAATTACCTTGGCAAATCCTGTCCTCAGGGTCAGTTGTTTTGCCTTGCATAGAATTCATGAGTTCTCATGATGTTATTGACTTTGGCTTATCTTCCACCAAAATTTCTTCTGTTCCTTTATTTTTGTATTATAAACATTTGTTCTTTCACTCAGACCCTCTATTACTGTGAAGACGTTCTCAGTCACATATTCCTTTTTCCTACTCTACTGTTTGTGTTTTAATTCTCCTTGCTATCTCTGCCTTCTGACCTAATTCCTAATTTTTTTCTTGTAAACATTTTGTTTCTCTTTTGAACTACTCTGTATTTTCTTGCTGCCGTTCAGTGATTTCTATAGGATTATTTTTTTCCGTTTGGTAATTTTGGTCCTTTCTGTTTCTTAGTATCGTAATAATAATAATAATAGTTCATAATGTTCTGGACTCTCTTTGAGGTTTTACTCATTCATTCTTCTATCACTGGTTTATCTGCTTATGGACTATTTTTATTCAGGCTTTCTCTCTTGACTGTTTTTGCCTTTCAAACCTACTTTTGTATTTCCAGTTACTTCCCTTTGATTTCGCTCTCTTTGGCACCTCTCCCTTCTATTGCAGCACTGTGGTGCCACTTTAGCTCTGATTTAAATGACTTGCCAAATAGTGCTATAGTACACATTTTTTTTCTTTTTTTTTAGGCAATTGGGGTTAAGTGACTTGCCCAGGGTCACACAGCTAGTAAGTGTCAAATGTTTGGTCTGAGGCCACATTTGAACTCAGGTCCTCCTGACTTCAGGGCTGGTGCTCTATCCACTGCACCACCTAGCTGCCCCTGTAGTACACATTTAATATTTAGGATTTTACTGATGGGGGAAGTGAGAAGAATAAGGGAATAGTATATTGCAGAATCAGATTATTTTCACAGTTAATTTAAAAATCTCAGATATATTTTTGTCATTCCTCAGATCCTCTGTGGAATCATGTAAACCCAACACAATGTCCCGATTCATTTCCCAAGAAATGGGCTTTTAACATTGCCATTCTACAAATGGGATTTCTTTCCCCTTCCCTCCCATTTTAAAAATAATATTTCATATTTCATATTGATTGTTGTTGAGTCATTTCAGCTGTATCTGACTCTTTGTGACCCCATTTGGGGTTTTCTTGGCAGAGATACTGGAGTGGTTTGCCATTTCCTTCCAGCTCATTTTACAGATGAGGAAACTGAGGCAAACAGGGTAAAGTGACTTGCCCAGGGTCACACAGCTGGGAAGTGTCTGAAGTCAGATTTGAACTTAGAAAGATGAGTCTTCCTGACTCCAGACCCAGTGCTCTATCCCCTGCAGCACCACCTAGCTGTCCTCACCTTGATTATAGGACTTCAGTAACACTTTCACGCATTTATTAAGGTTTACAAAGTGCTTTCCCTACAATGCCTCTATGCTGGTATTTACGGAATCACAAATGTTTAGAGAATCCCAGAATTTTGGAACGAGAAGGGACCTCAGAGGACATCTAATTCATCCCATTCCCAAAAAGGCATCCCTACTACACTATGCCCAACAAATGGTCATCTAGCCTCTGGTTGAAGAGGGATAATAAAGGGGATAACTTCAGGATAACTCTTATTTGTTGAGATACTTCTCCTGACCTCAAGCTGAAATCTGCTTCTCTGTAACCTCTGCCTATTCCTTCTTCATTTGTCCTCTAGGTCCAAGTAGAATAAATCTAATCCTTCTACTACAAAATCCTGGAAGACAGAAATCATTCATCCTCCCCACCTCCCTTCCCTACATCCTTCAATGCATTCCTTATTAGAGGCCTTTCATCATCACATTTGCCACTCCTCTGGACATTCTAGTTTGTTGATGCCCACCTAAACTGTGCTGCCCAGAACTGAGCACTCGAGTCTAGCTGGGCTCTAACCACAGACTACAAAGGGATTATCAGATCTCTAATTCCTGGAATGCAGAATTTGGGGGACTGCCTTATATTGTTCATCCCTACTGAGTTTGTAGTCCACTAAAACCCCAAGATCTTTTTCAGGCACACTTCTGTCTAACCATGTTTCCTCCATACTTGTGAAGATGATTTTTAGAACCCCATTGGAGGACTTTACATTGATCCCTATTGAATTTTATCTGATTAAACTCAGCCCAATACTCTGGCCTGACAAAATCTTTTTGAATGCTGACTTTGTCATATGGTCTCATAACTATCTCTCCTAGTTTGGTGTCCTCTGAAAATGTATTGAGTATCCCATCTCTGCAGCTATAGACTTTGGAACTGGATGGGACCTTGGACATTGTCTGCTTTAGCCCCTTCATTTAAAAAATATTTTTCTGAAATGAAACCAATCATACAACAAAAGCAACAGCAACAAAACCTAAACCCGGGACAGGGAGCATGTGGCCTCGAGGCCACCTATAACCTTCTAGGTCCTCAGGTGCAGCCTTTTGACTGAGTCCAATCCTTTTCCAAAGGGGATTTGTTCTATGATGTTTAAATTCAGTCAAAGGGCCCCACTTGAGGACCTAGAGGGGATTTGTTCTGTGAAGTCTGAATTCAGTCAAAGGGCTGCACTTGAGGACCTAGAGAGTCCACATGTGGCCTCGAGGACACAGGTTCCCCACCCTTGAGTCCTAAACCCTATGAACAATTCAGCAAAAACAACATTTTAAAAATGATTTCGAATGGTTGTGCCTTTCTGTCATTTACCAATTGGCTTTTAAAAAGATTGCAACACAGGCATTAACCTTGAACAAGGAGCACCAATGGTGACCACTGTGTTTATCTGCTAGGAGCTATGCTGCTGTTTCATATATCTCCTTTACATAATTGAAGTCAGTGTTTGTATTCTCTGCTTCTGTCACTCTGTGTCGGTTGAATGACTTCCTGTTTTTTTTCATTTTCATATTTATCATCTATTATCATGCAGTACTTTTTTGGGTGTCGTGAACTATCTATATAGCCATTCCCCAATTGTTGGTTAACAACATAGGCTGTTCCCAATTTTTGTTTTTTTCAAATAGTGCTTCTGTGAATATTTTTGTTCAGATGGGTCTTTTTTTTTTCCTTTCACTAACCTTCTTAAGGTATGAACGTGAAAGTGGGATTGTTGGGGCAAAGGGTATGACATTTATGTAATGAATGTGATTTCTTCAGCCTGCACTTTCATCCTGAAAATCTACAGATTTCTAAACTCTTGCCGCACCATTCACGTTTGTAGTTATGATCACCTATTGTGTATTTCCCTCCACCCTATTCTAGTATACTTTTTCCTCCTTGACAAAGAAGAGGGGCGTGGACCAGATATCCCTTCTGCAGCAATGCTCTATGCTTGATGCAGTCAGCTTCCCCTGCCCTCCCCCTCTTCTGTTTAGCCAGACCCCAATCATGGGTTCTCTCCTTTATTTACTTTTTTAAAATCCGTCTTTGTTACAACCCCGGGCTTGGAGCTTAGGGTTTGTTTTGCTTATGACTAATCACTCCCTGAAT